CGTCGCTGGGGCTATGAGGACCCCAGAGAACCCTTGTTGCCTTTGTTCTAATGCGAGCCCCATGTTTCATGCACAATTGGGAATTGCCGCCATGTTTTGGCTATTTCGGGCCGCCTGATTGTTTCGAGTCACTCCTTCCACAGCGCGACTGTACAAATTATCGCGAAAAGACAAGCGCCCCTGCAACTGTTCGATATTAGATTGGAAAAGAAGTCGACGCGGGGGGGCAGAGAGAAGTGGCAGACAGCCTGGCTTACGCATACAATGAGATCGCGTTGGCTTCGCCATGCCTTGCAGTCACTCGGGGCGTCTGGCGTCATTTGCGAGGGTGAATGCCGACAGCGCGCCAGAACTGTGGATTGGCTGGTTCTACCACGGGCGCAATGCGGAGTGCAGCACTGCAGACATCCAAAGGGGCCATTCCACGCACAACTTAGGCGTCATCGGGATGATCTTCCTGTGTATGTAGGAACGAACCTCTGCGAGCCATTCATCAAACTCTACTGTGTTGCCGAGTGCATTGAGGATGCCACGCACCAACAGAATCCAGATCTTGTCAGCTAAGTCTTCTGCAGCCGTCAGTCAGGGCTGTCATGGACTGGAACGGCATTCTCGCACACAATCCCTCTCCAGTTGTGGCCTTTCATGTCTTCTGCGGCCACTGCTGCGGCCAACGGAGAACCCGCGCACCCGCGGTCCCCCTGAGTCAATTAGGGTCAAGCTCGCATGTTCGATATTGCACTGCAGCAGGAGCACGCCAGCTATCCGCCACCCCAATCTCCTGGCCGGCTCTGGCATCCCGCGCCCAGATTGCATGTGCTTTTCTGGCACTTCTTCCGAGCTTCCCACAGCGGAAGCGCACGTCAATACTGATATTATGCTGTCGGCCAGAACTTCGCTTCACATTTGAACCTGGATGGGGTCCGGGTCGCCGGGCGGGACACGGCTCGCTAGCAGGTGGCCCGGTCGACTAATGCCCTGTCATGCCAATCTTTGACGATGTCCTTTACCAAGGCAACCCCTTGGAGACCGTTGAAGCACAACCAATATTCACGGATGCTACGGATACCCTGCTCTTCTTGATCCTCCCCATCTACAAGTACTCCGTAGATTCTTCGCTTCGAAACCAGAAAGCCGGGCGAAGCATCGTATCCAGCCCAGGCTACCCACATCTTTCTAATCCCAAGGCTCAAGCTAAGGTAGGCAATTAGGTAGATCGACTCGGGCGTCCTAACTTGAAGTTGGTTCTCGCCGTTTCTCCACATCGCACACCGTGCGCACCCTCGATTGACTGGAGTCCCGATGCGTGCTGAGTGCTCTCCCAAGGCGACCAATTTCCTCATCACCAACCGAGGCGCACTCGGGGTCTCGAGCACCTTGTTGTTCGCCCCTCTTCTGGATCAAATACCGATGATGGATCCGGGGATTTAGTTGTTTCGTTTCGTTTGAACTCGGTTGGAACCATATTCTAGACCTAGACCAATTTGCACAAACCGAACTGTCTCCAAATCACCGCTTGTGGGACCAGACAGCATACATGCATTATCGCACGGCTTAGTAGGCGAGGCAGTCCGTCGAGTCCACAATTGAGGTCACAGTTGCACTTTCACGGCGGTTCATCAAGCCGCCGTTACATCGCGCTTAGAATCGGGTTGTCCAACAGAGAGCACTAAGGCGCTAACAATCTCACGAGCCCCAGACTCAGAGCACAGTGGCTACGGAGTAGAGGCACGAAGTACTCCGTACAGATACCGCCTATGTAAATAAATGGAGCACAATCGAGCCATGGCCAATACTGCATCTTCGGGTCTGGTGGAGATTGGACTCTAGGTTTGCAGGTTTACCAAGGCAAGATGCTGGTCCAATATGGTTTTCTCGTGTCAATGGAAATTTCTGAAAGTGTCATGCGGCCTTGATTATGCTGCCAATGACACTGCGCAGAGAGAAACCATGACAGGTTTGATATTCCGGTTGTACAGAGTCTAACTGCGTCAATGCATAGTTGAGACGACAGCGATCATACATACACGAACAATCAACTAGACATCGGCCCACGACTGATATCGAACGTCTAACAGCCGTTGAGACAAACCAGCCACCGATCAGATCGTCCATTGGCCACCACCGTGGAGTAGAAGGGGGCCCACGGCTCCGATCAGTCATCTACTAACGGCTTTTACAATCGGGAAATGTGACGAATCAAGGTGACGTGCTTTAGTAACTGCAGCGGAACATCCGCGGCCAGATTTTGGCGCAAGTCTGTGTGGTATTTTATGTCGCCTTGCCAAGGTGTGCCGATGAATAAGTTGGGACGAGATGTGTTTTGAGACTGAGCTTTGAACCCATCGTACTTCCACTCGGCCGCGTTGATCCGCCACCTAACTAGATATGCGGGCAGTTTCGAATGCTGTCTAGGTCCTCAGTCTCTCCCAGGAAGGACCATGCTGGGCTAGGGCCCAGCCACTAGTGACGGATTTCCACCATCACCTGGCCTGTACACTCCCCGGGGCGTGTTCGGCATAGGAGATTCACTTATCCTCTCTAGTTGTGACCTTGGCAGTACGACCAAGGCTTGCCTCATTCTCTTTGCAGAAGATCGCGGAACGTGGCGGTAAAATGACGACGCGGAAGTCAGTCAATGAAACACCCGGAGCACAGATAGCAGAGGAAGAGGCGGTAAAAAGGAAATGGGAAGTGAGGTGGTTGGTGATCAGGAGGTCCAAGGCTGAGGCAGTTATTCTGCCTCTGATCTGAATGACGAGTCTCTGGATGATGGGGGAAATGAGGGGGGATGAAGAAGGAAAGGAGGGGAGGCAGAGAGGGCCCCGTCTGGACTCTGGTCTGGTCTGGTCTCTTTGGAAGGTTTGGTCCGTAGTGCCACACCAACGATTCCGTAAAGGCTGAGGCTCTGGGTGTTCCGCAGAGTTGCGAGCCTTGGTAACGCATTTGTTTTGTGGCCATTATTCTGACGAGGAATTGTAGTCTTTGATTGTGTAGTTTGCTGGTTAGGATTCTATGGTTACCATGGGTCCTGGGAAGCTTAGGGACGGCTTTGGTTGGTCATGCTAGTGCGGGATGGTGTAGAGCCGGGAGCGGTGCGCCGGCTGCGTTGATAGTTTGGATGGGCGAGAGAGAGAGCTGAAATTTGGTTTGGAGGGCGAAAGATATTGATAGTATAGACTGAATGATGAAGTTAGACGGTAAAATTGAATACATATAACCAGTGAATTGCTTCCTCGCAATCGTTCTCTTTTATTTCTGATCCATCATCAAACGTCGTCGTCGCGATTCCCAGTATCAGAAACTTCCAGAGATGCCTAGATGGATCAATGGAAATGACAACAAATATCTAACTCGGCCCAAACACCTGCCATCCTATCAACACATGTGGAGTCAGCAAGGCCTCGATGGGACTATTCTAATGACTCGTAGTTCTTTATTCGAATCGTGCGACAAGCCGGCCGAACGGCTCGACGAAGATGCCAAGACCTATCCATCGAGTTTGAACGAAAGCGACGAAACCAAATCACGAGCCTAGACCACATCTCCATGCCGCGCGCGGAATGCAATGCCGTGTCTCGACCGAAAAAGATAAGGGAAAAGAAATATTACAGAGCTAAGAAAAGAGAGGGAAGAAAGATAGAGACGCAGAAAGGGGATGAAAGATGCCCAAGAGAAGGGTCCTAGGCGCTCAGAAGTTCGAATTGAATATTGGATGCCCGGGAGACTTGATTGAGGGCTCCATTCGTCGAAGACATCAGCTCGCTCACTATCTTTTCAAGGTAATTGTCGGCTTCGATACGACTGAGAGGAAGTATCACCCAGGCGGTTTCGATCGTTGCTATTACAGCTCGAGGGTCGCAAAAGTCGGCAACGGTTGAGACCCAACCTGATCCTTTTTCTCGGCTGATGAACAGTCAATCCGGACGCCGAATGAATGTGTATCAAGGTATTGTACTCAGACCGGCTGTATGGATAATAGACGCGTCTCTACGCGTAGTCTACTCTAACTTTGGGTTCTTCCACGATTTTCTACAGAGTTCTACAGGCTAGATGTTTGTTGGCCTCATGTGAGGCCATTTTGTTTCAAAGTGCTCCCCTCTCTGGTCGATGTTGCGTTGCTAATGGCATCTTGTCAACAGGTTTATTATTCGATCAGACCCTATCTTCTCGGCGCCACAACCCGAATGATATCTATCGATACCTTTGATATACTAGTAATTCTTCGAAAAATATGTCTCGGATGCGTTGTAGTTCCTTGGCTTGGGACTATTCCCAGAGTTGGGCTGTCCGCTGTCTGTGATTTTGCTGGACGTCGGTTTTGCTCTTCTCCAGTGCTGAGCTGCGAGGAAATGCATTCGCAGGCCAAGGCTACGCGTCTGAAAGTGACAGAGACGCGCAGAAATGATTCAAGGCTTGAATGAGATCTATGAGTTGATCATGAAGCTGGAGTTTGGTGGTGGGTTTTGAGGTTGACGAGTGTCATGGTCATCGAGTGATTACCCCAAGGTGGATCGCTTCCGTCAGCTGGACGACTTCATAAATCCTCGGAACAGCCCAGAGATGACGCCTCAAGAGTAATATGCTCCAAGCTTCAAGGAACGAAGTCCTTCATTGATGATCTCCTACTCTGGAGTTTACTCTGCTTGGTCCCGTCCGATCTGTGATGGAGGACTACCCGGTATCACCACTCCCAGTCTGGCGATGCGAGCAGGAAGGCTTTCATGAGAGACAGAGTGGTCTTCTGGTGTATAAATTTGTTTGGAATCGACGCCAGAGATGCAAACTCTCTGATACTCTCCATTTAGAAGTATAGGCCCTCTCTGTTCAACATGCCATAGCAAGTCGGTCGTAGGCATGAGCATTCATCCTTCTGCTTCAAGTGTTTCCCCTTTTACCTACATTACATTTCAAATGCGCTTTCGGTCTTGAAATGTAGCAGGTGTTTTAAAATGCGAGTTAGAAACGTTTACATTGTGAATTACTGTTTTTCTGTTCTAGCCTCCCACTTCCCCGCTTGACATCACCGTTCACCAATAATGATAAACCGTCAACCGGTGACGCCAGATAGGTGAATCTAGTTCTTTGATGTAAAGGAGCCGTAGATTTTGGCACTAGGATAGATTCGACGGAATACTTTTGTGACATTGAATTTCGAGAGTGGAAGTCCGCCGTCCTCGGCGGCTCAGTCCAAGCTGAGGGTGCCGCTTCGTTCTCATTCCACTTCTCTTCGATTTGCTACATCTATAGACTAGGTATTGTTGAGGATACCTCAGAATGTTGCTGGGTGAGTAGACTAGGCATTGATAGGCGTGTAGTTCTGTCTCAAATTCTCACTGAATGACCAAATCCTCCCAAGAGACTTCCTTCTCCCTTGGGGGTCGCCACCAAGCTAAGCTCTCCCATCCGAGCTTGGCTTTCTTGGTTGCGATGGCTTCCCCTTTCATGATGCCGTGAACTTGATCTGAAGTTAGCTGAGACTAATTGGTAGACAATGGATGATTGCAACTGACCATAAGCCTCTCCTACTAGTTCATATAGCGTCGTCCCATTTTGTGTTGCCCGCTTGTGTTCCCGCAGAACCAGGGGCAGGTTGCACCCAGCAACAACGAAGATCTGATCTCCTAGCATTGTTCCCTCAGGTCCAATACAAAGATAGCGCTGCGTCCCAGTGACGAAGAAGCGCCGGAATGCCATAGTCTCCCCTATGGCTTCTTCTTCATCCATCATACCACGAGAACCAGCCATCAGGACTCTCTTGACAAGGCCGGGCAATCCATCCTTCTCATCCTTGCTCCACCAAGGAGGCTTCCCATCAAAGAATGCGACCTGACTAACAAGACACGCATCATTTACGGTGTTTTTGACGCCAAGATCAGGTCTCGGCCCATGTGGAGGAGTGACTGAGTCCACTTCGTCGATGAATACAGCTCGAACATGTAGCCTCTCCAGGTCATGGCTGAACCAAGCAACAGGTACTGCGCTTGAGCAGGCCGTAAAGCCATGTCCATTGACAACAAGAGATTCGATAGACCCAGTGACGAAGAGAGAATGAATACGAGATCGGTCAACCAGAGGCTTCGGCCGTCCCTTGAGCGGGCTGTGTTCTCTACGCCAGTCAGGCACCCAGCTCGGCAATGGGATTTCTTCATCTTGTCTCTTTATCCTTCCAGCCGCCAACAGTATCTCCAGACTGGTTTTGCCACGGATGATATCTCTTGCTGCCCCGCAGAACACCTGCTTGACGGACCTTTTGTAGTCAGGTTTGGACAGGCCCCGCAAGCTACCGGCGAGGCTGAGCATCGCAAACACCTTGTCTCGAGGGTCGGCCGCATCTCTAGCCCAAGTGTTCCACAAGAGATCTGATAATTTCCCATTCTTGAGTCGTTCCTTCAGGAGGTGGAGAGCAGTGGCGTATCGACCCTTTAGGTCCGGCCAATCGCTGATGCGCCCATCTCCTGTCTCGATCATCGTCTTTCTCACGTCATCCCAGGCTTCCGCAAAGGGCAGTGCCTTTTGCAAGGTCCTCCACTTGATCGTTCGCTGCCCGCACTGGATGATTGCTCGATCATTGGCACACCAGACCTCTGGAACAGTCCACGTCCGGCTCCGCCATGGGTTCTGAAGAAGTTTGTCAACATACTCCCAGTCCGCTTTGTAGCGTTCCTGGAAGAAGTATTCCATGTGGTTCTCGTAAAGAACGGGTCTGCCGAAAGCGATATGGCCCACTCGTGACCGGTTTAGCTCCCACGCTGCCATAGCCCTTTCCCAGGCTTTGCTGATTCTCAAAGCTCGGTATGGGTTCCAGTAGCCGTAGACAAAGTAGTGTCGGTACTTGCTTCGAAGAAACCATATGATGCCAGAAAATACTTGACGGATTTTAGACCGGAGAAGTTTGGTAGGTAACACAAGCGGCACTGGTGTGTCGACCCTCTCCAAATAGGCCCGGGTATCAGATGAGACCGTGGAAGAACTGCTGTTATCGACGACGTCGGGGTCATTTTTAGAAAGGGATCCGCTCTCGTAGCCCTCATCGTCCTCTTCATCATCGTAGTCTCCCGCCTCGTCGTCTGATATTCCCGCCTGCCTCCCTACTCCACACTCAGAGCTTGTGTCGGAGCCAACCCTTCGACCATCAAGGTATTCGCCTCGATCATTGTATTTCCTATGCATCGCCATTCTCTTGAGGAACGTGATCGCGCGATCACTGCTGCCATCCCCAGCAGAGGGACCTAGCCAGAATATCACGCGTGCTGCGCTTTCAAAAGTTTGCCGCATGAGGTTTGTTTGAGTGCTCTTCTCGGATAAATCCGCCTGGTCGACGCAGACCTCAAAGATCCATAGTGTACGTGTGTCGACAGTGCTGCGAAGGAAGAACAGAAGAGACGCAGCCTCCGACGAGATTGGGATGACTTTGGAGCTTCCATTAGACGCGCTATCTTGCACAATCAGGCTTTCAGAAGCACATGATGCCTCTCGTGCATAAGAGACGGCCTCGAAGCTGGGAGGTGACTCCAGTGAAAGCTCTTGAAAAGAGCATGATAGAGGATCAAACAGGTCACCTGGATGGAGGTTCAGAAGCCGAATACGACCATGCCCTGGGCCCTGATAGATAGAAGACGTCGCCATGTCGAAATTCTGAGCTATCTCAACCCAAAAATTGACTTGGGAATATGGTTTTGTCCACAACTATGAGATAGGGACCTTTTCGTCGCTGTGAAGTGGGTGAGATCTGTTCGGTCAGCAGCCTTCAGATGGCTGCTGCCTGCACCAACAGGGGTCATTCATCAGCCCCGGCGAAGAGTCAGGCTTTGGTCGAGAGGCCAGCAATGTATTCAAGATTATTGACTATTACCATTGAACTCAGGATTCATCAATAGCATACAAGATGAACGCGTCTACTCTCATGTAAGGCGCAAGTTGACTTTTCATTAGCCGCGCACATCACGTTACCTTAAGTACATGCAGCACCATTGAGAAGCGCCTTTGAACTTTCTCCACTCAACAGCCCCGGTGCTAATCATGAGCGCGGCGTCTTGCCGGAGTGAATCCGGGGTGCGGGGAAAATGATGGTGTTGTCCACCTCGCCTGACACCAAGCTCAATGAAGCGCGGCTGACTCACCAGCGCTCCATGGGTTCCTCAAGTTTTGAGCGCATCTTCCTCACGGCACTCGTTCACGACGGCCAGCATTCAGCAGTTTGGTGGCCGACGGAGTTTTCGGCGAGGCTATAGAGTTGCTCTCCGGGGAGATGTCTGGATATTCCGCGGACGATCTCGGAAATGGCTATAATTCTGCCGCTATGCTTAGCCGGACACGCCGGCCGGCTTGTGGTTGGGAGGTTGACGCAGCGGGGTTCATAAGCCCTTTAGGGCTGAGCTGAGGCGCAGGGGTAGTACATGCGGATGAACTCTTTCCATTCATTTCCTCCGATAGGGGTTTGCGGACCTTCATCGTACCTGTGGATGTTGGAAAGAGCAATACTTCTGAACCATGGTTCTCTGGAAATTCTTTCAATGCCGATGATCGGGCCTATGAGGACTCATTTAGCTTTTACTGCGCTGAGCAGTGAGGATGAGGGGCCAGATGCTGGTGTCACACCAGCGACGCTCATCTTTGGCCGCTAGATGAGGTGTCAATATGGCTTATTCATCCCCTGTCAATTCGTGAGCGATGTGTACATGTATAATTCACCTTCCCATACCGATGGTCATGAGGGCCACGATTGTAGTCTTCTTTGCAAAATCATGAAAGCAGATTCTGCACATCCCCATCTTGGAAGACATGGTTCTAGACGGAGTGATCTGCCCAGCTCATCTAATCTCACTTCATCTCACAGGCTCACCTCGTCCTACTCTTTGAGATGAAGGCCCGTGCTTGTGCATGAATCCTGACTCGTCTCACCTTGAGTAGAGGCTTCTTACAGGCCACCAGCTATTTTGGGTCTTATTACGCCGTAATCTTCCCTCCCCCTCTTGACCGAAAACGAGTACAAAGTCCACAAAAACACGGCATTAGCGCAAACTCTGTCGGCATTCTCTTGCCTGCAGCGCTGGATTCGTGCACACTATGAGTTCTGTACTGCGCGTAGATAGAAGGCTAGATAGACGCGGCGAACTCCGCAATTACATCATTCTCCAATGAGACAAAACAAATTGCCCACCCCTCGGCCCGGGCGAAAACTCAACCCAAAGTCATCGCAACCCTCAGAGACAACAAGTCAAGAGACCATTATGTTTGACTGATCTACGGGCACGACGACATAATCGAATAATCAACAGCTGCCCGCTCGTTCGCTCGAGGGGCCGATGATTCCGTAAACGTAAACGCAAAAAAACGGTTGGAACCATGGCATCCGACGAACAGAAGCCGGACGCCGACCGGTACACCGAGTCTCAATCTCCAGAGACTGAGACTCACCCGGATGGCGCCCCGGCGCGGTCGCCGACGACCGCAAGTAAAGCGACAAAGAAACCGGCGCCGAAGCCGGGTCTGGCGGCGAGATTGGGCCTCGACGCGCCGACGCTCATCATGATGTTCAAGGGCTCATTACCGCCCCTGATCGGCATCGCCATCTATCAATCCACGCCTGTGGCACAGTACTTCACGACGTTGGGCTATCTCGTGCCAATTATCTCGGTGCTCGCACTCGCCATTCTCCCAAGAGGAAAATACCTCCAAAACCTCGTCCTCAATGTCACCGGAATCTGCATTGGCGGCGCCTTGTCGATGCTGGCACTGTGGTCCGGTGTTCAGGCGCGAAGGAACACCGCTTCCGCCGAGGAACTGGCCACCGGATTGCCCGTCTACAACTCAAGTCAGTCTGCCGTCTGCGGCGTCTGGCTGTTCTTCAACATTTGGATCTCAAATACCCTGAGAGCCAAATACCCTGCGATGAACCTGCCTGTCATGATCTACTCTATCTTTATGAACGTAGCCTGCACCTTTGGCCCGCTCATGGTGACTACCGCAGCTGCCGAGTCGCTTGTGAAGCGACTGACCGTGGCCATGCTTTGCGCCATGGGTATTGCGACCGGTGTCTCACTTTTCGTTTTCCCCGTCTCCAGCAGAAAGGTGGTGAGCGGTGAATTCAAGGGTGCCATTGGCCTTGTTCGCAAGTCCATCGTCCTCCAGCTCAATTACTTGAAGACGTTATCGAGCCCCGACATGCTCGAGCGTCATCAGACCAAGAGCAGCAACGTTTTCAAGAAGAATAAGAAGCAGAAGAAGCCCGAGGTGACGAAGGAGGCGAAGGCCGCGGGCGAGCTCAAGGCCACGGCTTTGGCGATTTCGGCACTGTTTGGAAAGATGCATGGAGACATCCTCTTCGCCAAGAGGGATATCGCCTACGGCAAGCTCAATTCCAAGGATATTGGCGAGATCTTCAACCGCCTGCGGAGCATCATGATTCCATTGAACGGCATCAGCACTATCGTCGACATCTTCCGCCGAGCTTCCGAAAAGCACGGATGGGGGGTCAACGATGGCAACGGCGACTCGGACGCGGAGAAGGAACGGGAAAAAAGAGTCTGGAACGATATCATGCTCCAATTGCTGGAGCCGTTCGAAATCCTGACGGAAGCGATGGACCAGGGACTCGACCACGTCGGTATCGTCCTCGAACTTACGCCCAAGCCGAAGAAGACGAAGGGCACCGACGTGGAGATGGATGCCGGTGCCAAGGCGACCTCGAAGCCAGGCGAAGCCGGGTTCGCCGAAGTCCTCGCTGAGAGGGTGCAGGACTTCAACGACAAGAAGGGAGAGCTACTCAGAAACTGGTTGAAGGAGAGGCAGCTCGCGACAGAACAGGAACGCCAGGATCTTCACCTAAAGAAGCTCGAGACCAGGATGCGGGAGCGTGACCAGACGCAGCTTTATGTGATGCTGTACATGGAAAAGCTCATGCTCGCCCTCGGCGAAGCGGTGCAGGATCTGGTCATGTTCGCAGACTCAAAGGTGGCTGACGGCACGATGGCAAAGAAGCGCTTGATCATCCCTTCTCAGAAGCGCCTCAAGAAATGGTTCAAGGGTATCTGCAGCACCGAGGACGCTTCTCCCGAGCAGACGCCGGATATCGCTGAGATGGGCGCGAATATCGTCTACGCCGGTGATGGGTATAACAAGAAGAAGGATCCCGAACATCTTCCTGCTCACGGCGTCTGGCAACACTTTGGGAACTCGGTGAGGGCATTCTCTGGCTTTGTCGGATCAGGTGAATCGCTCTTTGGCTTCCGTGTCGCCATTGCAACCATGACAGTCGGCATCATGGCTTTCCTGCAGAGTACCCAGACATTCTTCACTGAGCAACGCTTGGTTTGGGCCATGATCATGATTGCCATTGGCATGACCATCACGGCCGGCCAATCCATTTTTGGCTTCGTATGTCGAGTCGGCGGAACCTGCGTTGCTGTTATCTTTTCCTATATCATTTGGTACATCGTTGTCGAGCGGACTGCCGGAGTCATTGTCTTCCTCTGGTTATTCATCTTCATCGAGCAGTACTTCGTCTTGAAGTATCCGCGGTTTATGCCTGTGTGGCTCATCACGATTATCACCCAAGTCCTCATCATCGGGTATGAGCTCCAGGTTCAGAAAATCGGAGAAAAGGCCGCCGCCGCCACGGGACAACCGTACTATCCTACCTACCTCCTGGCACCCTATCGTCTCGCCTGTGTAGCGGCCGGTTGTTTTATCGCGTTCATCTGGACCATTTTCCCGGCTCCCATCACCGACCGGCGCTGGCTCCGACGGGATCTCAGCGCTTCGCTCTATCTCCTCGCTAACTACTTCAGTGTCGTCACTGAGACAATCAAGGCGACGATGGAAGAGACTCACGGTGACATCAAAAAGCCCGGCACACCTGCTCACAAAATGGAGAAGGAGAGGCGTCGCATTCTAGGCAAGCTACTACTGCTGCTCCCTAGCTTGGACCAGCATGCGCAATGGCAGAAGTGGGAACCCGATATCGGCGGCAAGTTCCCCAGAGCCACCTACGAAGACATTATCAGACGGTCGACTAGCACTATGCGGTACCTGACGCTGATTGCCTACACCATCACCTGGAAGCCGCGTGACAGGCCAGCCAGTCCCTCGTCCGACAGTGACCGGGCCTGGCTGCGCGCTCTCAATCAGGTCCTTGCGGGAATTGAGCCAACACAACACACCATTCTCTCAACGCTCACGCTGCTGTCTAACTCACTGCTGTCGGGCCAGTCACTGCCACCCTTCATGCAACTTCCGAGACCGAATGAGCTTACCCGCAAGCTTCTCCACCTCAAGGGCCCCGAACCGGAGCCGCGGACCATGCAAAGAAGAGGAAGCGAGCTCGAGCACAGGCTCGTCACGGTTCACACCCGGACAGGATCCGAAGTGCGCCCCTCAGGTCGGAAGCCCAGCGTGGCGGAGTCGCCAACGAGCGATACTTCGACGATTGCGAGCATGGCCGAGCTATCGGAGATGGTCAGTCCTCTTCGCAGCGGAAGCATTCTTGACGTGAGGAACGTCGAGCAACACGGATATACCGAGTTCGCAGTGCTGCAGGTTTGCAGCTCGCTTGTGTGCGATGACTTGGAGGGCCTGGTGCGGTCTGTGAGCAGTTTGGTTGGTGTTGTGGACTTCAGCTTCAGGATTAACCCAAGTGAGGCAACGCTGACGAGCAGTGATGAGGAGGATGCTAGAGGGAAAGGCAAGCGAGATTAACATAATACCCACGACCTTGTTTGGAACTACGGAGACATACCAAAAGGCGAATTGAGATAGAAGTAATAAGAATTGTAACTACGAGCATTCAAATGAAGCTCATAATCCCCTTAGACCACGTTATGAACCACGGCCGCCTGAGCAAAGTGCGGTACTTTAAATGTAAGTGTAATATTACTAGCACTAGCTTAATGGCCATATTACCGACCAGAACCGGTCATGTGTATGAAGTTTACAAAGAAAATAGCTGTTGCCAGGTCGAGATCTTATGCCCACGATCCTGCCAACGATCACCATGTCAGGTCTCAACGCAAATGACGCCGCTGCCACTACTATTCACCCGATGACCCGACTTGCGAGTGGTACTCGTCGTAGTAGTCTTGGTTCCAGATCGGCTCATTTCATGCATCTGCGCACTCATTCTTTCCTCCAACCTCTCCATCGCCCTGCACTTCTCCTCAAACCTCACCACAGCCTCGTCGCGCTCGCGATCCGCCGTGTTGCGCGCAGTGATGGCAGTCTCCTTCTGCTCCCTCGCCTCACGGAGCATGGTACGCATGGCCGAAATCTCGTACTCATAGCTGGAGCTTCCCTCCTCAATCTCAGTGATGCTCTCATAGGCCTCCTCGTACTTGACCTCCCACTCGTGGCACTTGGCCTTGAGGGCGCCGCACCTGCTGTTGAGCGTCTCGACCTCAATCTTGAGCACAGCCGAGGCGGACTGGTGGCTCTCGATCTCGATCTGGAGCTTCTCGATCTGCTTCCGGCAGTCGCCCAGGTCGGAGTCGAGACGCTCGATGCGTTCCGTCTTGGTATGGATCTCCTCTTGCGACTTCTTGAGAATGGACTCGGTGTGGCTGAGGGTCTCCTGCACAAGGAGAAGCTGACGATGGTTCTCGTTGGCGCGACCGACGGCACGCTCGCCCTCGTCCTTGAGACGCTTCTTTTCGATGATGAGAATTCGAAGCTCTTCCGTCTTCTTCGTGATAGTTTCCCGCAGTTCGGTGCGTGTAATCTCGATGCGGGAGATCTCTTCGCGGAGGGAAATGATCTCACGGTCGCAGTGCTCCCACTTAAGCTTCCACTTGCCACAATTGTCTTCGGCTGCCTCCCACCGGCAGTGCTCTTCCTCAAGCTCGCGCTTGAGTCTGATGATGTACTGTTCGAGCTCTTCCTTTTCGTTCCGAATCTTGATGATGATCTCCTCCTTCTCGTTCTTGATTCTGGTGATGGCTTCTTCCTTCTCACTCTTGACCTTCGTGATGGCCTCCTCTTTTTCGTTCTTGACTCTGATGACAGTCTCCTGCTGCTCCTTGACCTCGGACTTCTTCTTCTCGTACATCTCTTCTATCTCCTTGTACTTCCGCTTCAGCTCATCATGCTTGTGGTCGCACTTGCGGATATGGTCCTCAAGCTCGCCCCGTCTGTGGAGCCACTCGTGCTTCTCCTCCTTGAGTATCAGGTGGCTCTTTCTGATGTCTACGAGCTCCTTGTGAGTCGACTCGAACTTTGTGGTGATTTCCTCGTGCTTCGAGGTCAGTTCAGTGAGCTTCAAGTCCATATCTGCACGTTCGCCTCGCAGCTTGCCACACTGATCCTCAAGATCGGCACGGGCAGCTGTGGTAGCTACCAAGGTGAGTCTTGTCTGCTCCGAGGTCTTCTTCAGCTCTTCGTGTTCTTTCTTGATATAGGTGTAGGTATCCTTGGCTTCGGCGATCTCGTGCCGGAGGGTCTTGCACTCGTTGTCTCGTGCAGATAGCTCCAGCTTGAACTTGGAAGCACTGTTGATGGCTGCAGTGAGCTCCAAGCGCACTTTGACAAGCTCTTGCTTGTGGCCCTCACGCTCGTGGTTGTGGTGACTGTGCTCCCTCTCCTTGCGCTCCATCACCTCGGTCAACTCCTCGTAGCGCTCAGTCATGCGATGCATCTCAGAGTAGGCAGACTCGCGCTCGGTGATGATCTTACTCCAGACTTCGCGTAACGACATGCTTCGCCTCGACATGCTAGACATGAGTTCCGTGAGCGCCGCGAACTCAAGCTCCGCCTGGCGAGTGAGCTCCTTTGACACTTCGGAACTGAAGCTGGAGCTGTGGGAGCTTGAATGGAATTCATTGCTATAGGAACGACGGCTGACGCGACGCTTGGTAGTATACGCGCTCCTGACGGACCCAGTAGGGCTGCTTGTACGAGGAGATGTTGCGGATGGGTAAGACGGGAGAAGACGAGGTCGGCTTCGTTCATTGATGCTGAGACCCGACATCTCGCTCGTCAGCAAGTCCGATTCGCCCGGAGTGATCGGCGTAGGGATGTCAACGTCCACTCCCAAGTGAGTTTGGGAGTGGTCGTGGCTGTGGTCGTGAGTCGTCGCCATGTTGCCGTGCAGTCCAAAGTGTGAAGCAAGAGTAGAATCCAAAGACTGGTAGAAGCCCTCGGCCATGGGGTAAGGGGAATATCAACAAATTGATCGAGCCGGATTTGGGCAGGGCGAGAACGCACATGCGATGCGGGACTTTTAAGGCCTTGGACTCACCGGGCAAGCTCGTCCGTCACCTCAGCTTCTGCTATTCTCAAAGAATGGTCATCGATACCGCTCGTATGGGCATGATCAGCAAAACTTTCGTTCCTAAGAGGCTGAGACACGGCTGAAGTATGGCTGACTTCCAAAAGCAGCACCGAACCAAACTAGCAAGATCCCAATATCTATCCATTTCCTCCCAAAGAAGCCTATTGGCAAGTACGATGGCTTGCGATAGCGATGAAGCAGCATTCGCAGCTTCGTGATCTGCAGGGTGCCCGAGACCTGATGTGCTTGTTGAGAGAAACTAGACGATGTCGGTAAACGCCAGGGTCCTCATGCTTGCATCCCTAGCTGTCGTAGCTGAGCCAGCCACAGACAGCCCTCCCGCGTCGGCCGAAGAGTGTAGATGTGTCCGATTGGCTTCTGCGTGACGACCTAAACTAGCGAAGGAGGTGATTTCGAGACATATCCCGCGCGCAGGGCACAGGTTACCTCAAATGGAATGGCCATTGTTTCTGTCACGGTAACTCATAAAACTCCTCGCTTAGAATGGAGACAAATCTACCGAGCCATATGGCCGAAAGCGGTCACATCTTTCCCCGCGTGGAGTTCATCTCGACTTTGAGAATCACTGCCGGAGTTGCAGGCGTCTCCCCGCAGAAGACTTACTACCTAAGGCAGAGACACTCCCGTTTCTCGCCCAATTACGGTTCGGCTGGTAAACTGTCGTTGGCTGTTAGATGTGGAGTCTTCGGTACCAATGGTCAGGTTCCAGTAGATTCACCTGAGACCCCGACTGCATTCAGCTCCCAGACCCGACAGCTTGAGTGAAACATTTTGACTTAACACAGCGGAGCAACCTTCACAGACAACATTCTCCGAGCCCCTTATTTCCCAAGAAAATAAGATCAGCATTCGTGATGGGCATCATTTCTTGGATTCCCAATCTCTGGCGCGTTCCATGCGCCAAGAGTTAACTGCTAGACGGCGATCATCGCGTTCTTGACTGGAGCCGGTGAAGCAGAATGAAAGCACAGTCTTCAAGACATAACACCTCAACAATCGCGGGTGTCTTAGTATATATCGTTTTCATATTTGTCAGAAGTCTCTGGACACCTTTGGGCTACAAACCTTTACGCAGTAGATGAAATTGACAATCCGAGAAGATGGCGCCCTGTTTTCACCGGTGCAAACTGGCTAAATGCACGGCAAGCCAGTCAGACCTCGTCAAGTTTTCCTGCAGCAATTATGCTGAGAAATTCATAGGCCTTGTTCTATTGTAGGCGGCCAAGTTACTGTGGAAGACTCAGCACTATGGCTGGGGTGTTGGGGAGGGTGGGCGTTGACGAGGTCACTGCGGCTGTGATATGGAAGAGATAACAGCTGAAAGCTAGCTGACCCCTTAAATAGACGCCGCAAATATGAAAACGAACCCTTTTTCGGCCAGAGTACCATATAATGCCGGAGAGTCCGTCTGAATAACACCTGTTGATAAAGTCAACCATTCTCAGAACGCCCGCTATTTCCGAGTTGTGAACTTTATCGCTCTCGACAAGGGTACAGACGACCCACGAATGAGAGACACGGTGGGTCTACTAGGAGGATTCACGGCCCCTGGCAGATATCTTCACGAGCAAAAGTGCCTCATCAATGACTGTAATTGTTCAGATGCTGCCTCGTTGTTGTAAAGGCATCGCTAGGAATATTATTTGAGAGCTTTCAGAGCACTCTCCACCAACCATCTCTTCCCTCGTGGATATTCGCCGACTTCATGCCTTGTCGCACTTGAGTCTCCAGCTGCTCTGCGGCGAACAGACGACTGCACCATTGAACTTCAGAGTCGTCTTCGCCTGGCTGCTTCGTGCGTGGTTGTAAGTGATCCAGATACCATTCTGCGCAATGTCCCTGCCATCTGTCGATCTGCAGGCGGTGTTGACCTCATTCCACCATCCGGCCTTGAGCTGCAGCTCGTCTCTGCGGTTCTCCATGGCCCACTTGAGGTCTCCGAAGCTCAGGTCGTTTCCAGTCCAGAGACCGGAACACAAGAGACGCTGGGCCTTGGTTATAGCGCCAATATCGGCAGGCGCAGGCTCAGCAACTGCTTCCGGTGTAGGTGCGGCGAAAGCGCTGGCTGCGAGAAAGAGGATGGTTTGGAACTTCATCATTGTCGTCTTGGTGCCTTATGGGTCTCTTTTTGTGAGTCTTTGGTGTGAATTTTCAGGTAGGTGAAGGGCTGATTTCTGACTGGTGTATGGTGAGAAGCTTTAATAGTCTAAAGGACAAAGAGTTGCTGGCTTGGAAATCAGAGATGTTAGGTCAAATTGTTGACTCAAATACTCGCAGACGATGACTTCAAGGCCACTGCCCGGCCATGGTAATTTCTATCGATAGTATCCAAGAACATGCTATGCCTCACATGTTGTACATGACTTGTACCGGCGGGTCGATGTTCAACGCGACTGAGTCCCTGATTTGCTCACCTGTCCGTAGAAGCCCACTACAGCGAAGCATCCCACCGGTGAACGGTTGTCGGCAGGATAAACTTCGCGAACGATGATCAACAGCTTGATTGGCTGACCTCGATGCTATCGGCCATCTCGTACACCCTAAAATCACGGAGTAGTCCGCGTATTCGGGTACACATGATTCAGTACAACACAAGCCAAAGGCCCAAAGCTCTACCAAGTGGCCTTGGTGTAACTGGAAGTTAGAACAGGGTTATACGAAAGCGACTTATTCGGCTCCGAACCTCTGTAAACTGGGACTCGGACCAACGAATAGTCCACCAATACAATTAGGCCGCTTGAACCACGCAAGGTTTACAAAGCTTAAATGATTAAATACCGCTGCAATCTTCGCTAGCCGTTCGTATTACACGCGAAATGGTTGGAGCATATTGGGGAAGATAGATTCAGGGCAAATGATCTGTTGATCGCGAGACGGAGCTATCCTGAGAAATCGGCTAGCTTTTCCACGTTAGGGATGCGTTTCCTCCACCTAACATAGGTACACTAAAATCATCAGCGTTTGGACCTTCATTCGAAAGGAAACGTCAATGTCATAATATGGAACATCACGATCCGCCGACTTGAGTCAATCGTATTTCATCTCCGGATTGAATGTTGAAATTTAGTTGGGCAGAAATTCACTAAGACTCATTAGAACAGAAGCCCGATACTGAAAAATTACTCGGGTTCAGACTAGCGATGGGCGAATCGGATAATCGGGTGTCGCAAGTCATGCGGTGGACGACTTTGAAAACCAAGGAGGACAGCTACCACCAGAACTTCATCTTTTCCAGCCGTTCAATTGAGATGAAACATCTGAGTTTATGCGAGAGGATGTCATACCAAAGACGAGGTAGTCGACCTTGTGTAGCCGATGGTATCTCTAAGGCCGTTGTTCTTTGGAGTTCCCAAAACACAGGCTTTGTTACCTGTTTCCTTATCCCTGTACATGTGTTTCTCCACGCGCAATCATTTATAGTTGCTATGGCTTTAGAACCGCAACCTCCCATATCGCAGTACCCCCGCTGCGGCTGGGCTTGGTCTCCCACTGCGATTCTGATCACATCGGCTTTATCTCCTGTCAATTGATATGCTGGAGACTTCTATAATCATACTCGGTCTAGCGTAGTACGGTGAGGTGATCTGTTGGTATACGGATTGATAACGCAGTTCAAATTGTCGCAGGCACCAATGGGGACGCCAGCTTAGCGCCTAATCATGAGATCTCACCATGTGTACCGGGATTAGAGTATTATGTCTACCAACTAGACAATACACTGCTTGCTATCTTAGACCTTTTGCAATTCTCTCAGAGCCTTGACTGAGCCTCCTCTGCTAGGTGTCCCTTAACGCAGTTCATGGTTTACTGTACGTGTACTTCATAAGCACATGTGGTTGCCTAGGACCGCCTCTTTCACGGGGTTAAGTCCCATGTTGGACAGGACACATTCCCGACACAACATACCACTATGTTCTCACTCTCTCACTGCGTTTCTAAGCCCATCGGAATATCTATCATCTTCAGGGACGTTCCTCCGCACCGCGTCTTGGTGTCTTGCCACAATAGCCAGCGCCACAACAAAGCGCGAAACTTCCGCGGCAATGTTGTCGTCCATATCGTCTCCAAGGAAATACCGGGAGGCGTAGTGTGGCATCGCCCAGAACTTGCATCCGTTCTCCTCAGAAACCTGTTGGCCATAGTAGGAATACAATCAGCCTCCCAGGATACGCATCGTACGGTTTTGCATACTCACCGATTGCTTTCGGCGCAAGCGGCTGTCAATGAGCCACAGCTTTGAATTTCTACATCCACTCAGACTCCTTGAGGCATGCACCAACGAGTCATACTCATCGAAACGGTTCTCCGAGAGCTCCATGAATGACAGTTGCTGTCTGAAGCGGCATCTGGTAAGTTAGTGGGGATCACTCCAAGCTGTGATCCTTTCATACCGGAGGAGTTCCTCTACGGTCCATGTGGATTCGAATCCAATTGCGACGTGTCTGACTCCTACGAGGTCATCCTCCTTTGAGAGAAATGGCAACTCTTGACCCAACCGTATGAAGTCTGGGATGCAACAAATGGACTGCAAGACAAACAAGTCGGATTCAGAGAAAACAGAAAACCACTGGTCGCTCTTGCCGTCGCTGATTTCGAAAGTGGCAAGTTGTTTGACGGGAACTAAATTTACCTCTGAGGAGCTCCTCGGGTGGGATTACACCTACGGTGCATAGCTGCGCGGGACTCTCTGCAGGCGGTCCAAAGGCCTCCGTCAATAGCTTACGATGAATGGTCTCCAGCAGTTCAAGAAGGCGTATTCATGTCTCCGGTTGAGAGTGGCGCAGCTAATACCTGCTTTTGACCCTTGCTGGCTCTTTCAACAAGGGTATTTTGTTTGAATATCTCGGTCTCCGTAAACAAGGGGACAATGGAAATTTCTGCCACTGAGAAGTAGTGGACGCCTCGATAGCCGTGAGGCCGAACGGCGTTCTTCCAAACTAAGTCTCTAATCTCGCCTGGGAGGCGTGGAAAGTGGGGAAAGACGTTGGACATCGCGGAATGATGTCGGAGAGCCCAGGTTTCGCGTAGTTGTCAAAAAAGTATAATCGCTTTTCAAGCTGGATGGTGAAGGAGAGATGTTCCAAAGATGATTAGGATAGTTGGAAAAGAAATCAGCTTCCTACATCTCGTATGTTATATGTTCCTCCGACAAGCCGCATGATAAAACGCTGGAATAGCAATGACCGGAGACACGGTCACTGGCGACAAGGATTTTGCCATCTTCGCCACGAACAATGCCGCTATCACGTCAATAAATGTCCATTGAGGCATTGGAAGAATCGTTCTCGCTTGTTTTATTCCAAGGAAATTCTACGGTTTTTGGTTCGTTGGCCTGAACATTGCCAAAGTCTGCCCTTGTTTCTTCTTTTTCATGCTAGAAGACCAACTTCAATGTAGGATTTCATGCCAGAACGGAGACCTGCAATATGCCGCGACGTAAACAAAATGCCGTGGTTTAGAATCTAGAATTTTCAAAATACCACATTTCTGGAGTGGATAATGCGAGATACAATTCTCCTTGGTGGTTGCAATCGGTCAAGTCTACCAAGAACCGCCCAGGCAGGCCGCAAAGGTCGAGGCGGCACCTCACGACAACGCACCTTTTACCTCAAATAGGTCATCCACCGTGGTCTTCTCGAGGTCAGAGATTCGTTAGTTAAGTCGTGAGGCTGCCTGCTGCCTCAGAATTTACAGCTATCTTATTTACCGGACAGCGACGTCAAAGGTCTCACATGAGACCCGCCTACAGAGTAGATCACTGGGCAATCCGGTCAAAGTGAACCCCAAACTGACGCACTGCGAACGTGGATGGAGATGACGACATCAATAGCCATGCATAATCCCTGTGTTCGTGACATCTTGTCTCTTTTCCTCCCTTCAGAGAGGTGGGAGATGGCGCCACAGCCTCGGCGCACAACCTCTCACGAGCCCGGAAGATGTGCATTGAGTGACCAATATCTCTCGGATGTCTCAAAACATGTCAAACGTACCACAGCCACGATGGCCCGAAAGTTATAAGTCGCATGTAGCGATGGCCTGAGTCTTTTTCCAGTCGCGGGTTCTTGCTCTTCAATGACATTTCTAAAGTAGTCAAGATCTCAAGCTTTCCCCTTGGCAATTCAAAAACAAAGGGCAACTCACTCGAGTAAATTGGACCCTTGGAAGAACACTTCATCTCACGTGCAAAATCATACTTCTCAGGAGAAGCAAACATATCAACAATGATAGAACTACCATCAATCACCCTAGACACAACTCTCACAGACCTCTATCGCCGCGCAAACCCCCAAAATGCAGACAAGCGCATCGCCCAAGTCTTATGTCTCATCAACTCCGGCTCAGAACTCAACCCCAACGTTCCACGCAACGCAAAATACCTTTACCAAGACAGCCCCTTCAACGCAGTTCCACAAGATCCATCCAGCAGCAGACTGCCAGGTGATGATGGCGGAAGACAGCAGCAGCGCGCACTGGCTGTGAAATACCTCTCGCTGATCCCGCAACGAGACGCCTTCATCAGCGGCAACACAGCCGTCGTTCTCTTCCACACCATGAACTCGAAGAAGCGAAATTTGCACGATATACGCGAGACAGAAAAGACACTCTCCGTCCTGTCCAAGACCCAACGTCCAGATCTCATCTTCTGCCCCGGGCCCTCCGAAATCCCCATCAAAGAAGCCGGCATCGATCTGATCGCCTGTAAATTGTTCTCGACGGGCTGGAATCATACAACAACCTCATCTTCCCGCCCGAGACACACTGGTTCCTCAATTCCAAGGCTGGGCTCGCACGATCAGGCCTTCCTACCCCGAGAGCAAACATTCTCGAGGTCGATGGGTTGGCTGGTGATGCGTGGGCATGCTGTGCTTCATGCAGCAGCGGTGATGCAGCAGAGTTTATCATCCCGAAATCCTGTACATGAAGCCGGGGCAGATGGTTGAAGGAGCAAAGCGACAAGATTTACGCGGATCTCGAATCTCACCCCCTGCCGTTTGTCCTCAAGAACCAGCAGACCTTGGGCGGTGCGGGGACGTACATTATCAACACCGAGGACAAGCGTCAAAAGCTGGTGCAGGACTTCAGGAATGGCGTTCTTCGCAAGTTGCTTTCTTCGGTGACGGAGTCCAACGCTCATCTCCAGCCTGGACCTCTGATTGTCTCTGATGTGATCGAGGATCCCTTGGAAAACTATGGCTTGACTTTCTTCGTCACAGATGATGGCAGTGAGCCGGTTTTCCTGGCTGTATCGGAGCAGATGACGGATGGCGATAACGCGTGGATCGGGAGTACCATCAACTACCGCCGTCAAGAGCAACTGGAGAAGAAATTTGGGCTGTTAGTTAAAAGGGTTGCGACCTGGCTGAGAGGATATGGGTACATCGGACCAGCTGGAGCTGATGTCCTGGAAACAACATCGTCGACGGCAGTGTACTCTAAGACGAACGGTGTGGAGAACGGTGCTTCTTCCACCATCTCTAATTCAGTGAATGGTGGCCCCGACTTCTCCAACTTCCACATCGTCGACCTCAACGTCAGAACGTCAGGCTCAATGTGCCTCCCCCTCCTACGAACTCACTTCACCACCCGCGGCCTTTGGAGCGCATCTTCCTTCTCCATCAGCTACAAGAAGTCCCGCGACGACTTCATCGAGTCCTTCCAGAATGAATTTGAGACAGGGAGGATGTGCGTGCTTAGCTGGTATGATGATCCGGACACGGGCTACAGTCTGGCTGACGTGGCTGTTGGTGCCGAGGATGTGGATGGGTTGCGGACCGCAATGAAGAGGGTTCGAGATTTGACAGAGGAGGTGACCTTCTAGTGTTCGTGTGGAAGAGCTACGTCAGGTAGATTCTAACTTGCGGGGCCTGAAAATGTTTTCTGAGATACTGGACAACGAACAAAACCTTAGATAGAGGAACTTGGCCGGGATAAGTAGGTGAAGCTTTGCAAGCACGCGAGCAAGTAATATGGAATGACATTCACGAGCTTGAGCTCAACTAGAACTGTATCTTGACCACGTCCGTCCCATCCCAAAGTAAAGCCAGCATCAAAAAAACGATGCCTGGCTCGCCGTGCCCACGCCATTCATAAACACCCAATAGGTACGCCGACTCCCGAAACCTGCGGCCCTTTTGGTTCTCATCATGCCAACTACCAGTAGGGTTACTTGGTAGGTATACTATACAAACGGTGCATCTTCGTTATTAGAACAGACTTTCCATCCTTCAGCCGAGCGCTCATGCCTCAATCTCCATTGCACCGTCACTCTCGAGGTTGAGATCGAGGACACGAGCGTACTGAATGGTCAGTCGTTGTAGTTCCCTGAATTTACCTGAGTGATTGTTAGCGTGTCTACCTCATGAAAAGTGAATCAGCTAATCAACTTACCGAGAATCATGACAACGCCCTTCAGGAGCTCCTTGCGGTCCCAGCCACAAATCTCAACCTCCTGGCTAAACCAACCCCGGCCGCCCTCGCTCGGCTTCTCGTCTTTGTCTCTCAAGATACCGCCAAGCAAGCTGTTAAGGAGCTCTTCAACCTTGCCTCGATGACCCTCGGCACCAAGACGCTTTGCATACATGAACAAGTAGAGGCGGAACTCGTCCCTTGCGTCCAGGTGTAAAGCGGCCGCAATGCGGTTCTCAAGGTGAGCAATACTCACCGTTGATTCAAAGCCCTCAAAGCCGTCTTTGGTCAACAGCATTTTGACAATGCGCTGCAAGGTGTAGGCGCGACCCTTGAGCAGGAACTCATTCGTCGTGTGCCTTTCGAGGTAGGGAATGATGCCGGCGGAAACGTTGGCCGTACTGTCGTCCTTGGGCTTCGCGGGTGTGACGGGTCCAACGGCAGTCGACTGCAGAGCGCCAATCGATGAGTCGTTGCTGTTCCAGTACTGAGAGCCAACAGCCCACCAGGCTTCGCTGACCCGCTGCCATGTGAACATGTCCCGAGTGTAGCAGTAGCCGTCTCCGTTGGTCAGTGTCACCACAATGTGGCCAGCCGAATTCAGTTGAGCCGATGTGATGCCGGGACCTGGTGTCGTTGTATTGAGATTAAGCGATGTTGTCGCGAGTTCGAGAACTGGGCCTAATGACACTGGGGGATGCAGGGCTGCTTGTCTTTGCAGATCCCAGACGTGGCACAAGCCGACAGCGTTGATGCAAAGCAGATAATTATTGCGGCACTCAAGGATGACTGGTTGGGATTCCATAATGATCGGGTTCATCAATCTTCGTCCAGCGGGTGTCCAGGTGTAGATACTGCCATCTTCGCATGCCACTGCCCAGAAGTTCTTGTTGCCAGTGACAAGAATGACTGCTCTCGGCAGGTAGTCCTGCCAAAGAAGCGTCCCACGCTTAGTAGCAGAAATGAATGAGGGATCCCTGATTTGAGCAGGGTTTCGGGCTTCAAGGATGATGTTTTCGGGCACCTTGGAGGCGTCATCCGTGCTGCTTTCTGGGAGCAAGACACCTCGTTCGAGCGGCCTCACAATCTGAGATCTGACTTTGGGTACAGCCAGCCGAATTTGCGCAAAGGCAATCGATGGGTTCAACACCGCAGGCCTGAGATACTCGGGTGTGGGTACAACGCCGTAAGCAGCCGGCACGACTGAAGCTGGCTCGACGCCATCGACGCCGTTCAGTACCACAGGCGTTGGCCCTGTTGCCTGTCGCTTTGAGGCGGGATCCTCTTCTTCTTCGCCCTCGATGATTGGGGTCTTGCGCTTATTCCCGAGCAGCATGGCAGCAACACCGCCTTTGGGAAGACCCTCAAATGGTCTTTCGAGATCTAGAATGGTCTGAGGTGTATCGTTCTGCGCAGCCTTCGATGTCGATGTTGAGCCCACTAACTGGGTTTGAGGGAGAGACGATTGGCCGGTGCCGGATGAGGATACAAGGAGAGGCGCAACACGTTTCCTACCGTCCTTGCCAACCGTCACCCGGGACTTCAACTCCTTGACTCTCTCCCCCGACTTGTCGCCATTCTCTTCTGCAGGCTTCTCTCTCTCTTTCTCTGGCTCGACATTGCCGTTCGTGGGCCTCGGCGTTGATGTGCCCGTGGCTGTCCCATTGCCAACCGGTTTGGTGCCGTTGGTCGCAGGCGTTGCTCCTTTGGAGGAACCCGGGTCACCCATCAAGGCGCCCATCCTTGACTCTGCAGCTCGAGACTCACCAGCTTTACTTTGATTCTCCAGGTTCAGACCCTCTATGTCCTCTGCAATACCCATGCCTTTCCTTGACGCGCCGTACTTCTGAAGAGCCTTGTCATTTTCGCCAGCATCCGCAACCCAGCCGAGCTCCCCGTGATCGAACGAGATTCCGAGGAGTGTGCCGTCCAAGCTGGCGGCGAAAATGGTAGTTCCGTCGGGTGACCAAGCCAAGTCAGAAATGGATTTACTAGCTACATCCTGAAGAATGACTACAGGCCGTGATGTGTTCGTATTCCAGATACTCAGAGTCTTGTCTTGGCCTGCTGACGCTATAACAGTGACCAAGGCATTGTTGTCTGGTTGCTCCGCCGGGTTCTCCGTATGAAACAGGCGTGGCGAGAACATGCAGACCTCGGTCGGCCCTTCGTGGCCGATTAGGTTGATCTCACTGTCCCATCGTGTTCGCTCAATTATCGCGACTGAGCTGACAGGACCATTGACGGCGTTTGGAGCGGCAATGTGATTTCCATCAGGAGACCAGGAGCATCGCCGGAAGTATGTGGTCAACGGTGAACTCTTAAAGGGCCCGCTGATTGTTTGCTCCAGCACGAAGTTATTAACCATATCATGTTGCGTCGCATTCGGTGCAGGTGGCGTAAAACGAAAGATCTTGATTGTTCGGTCGTCGCTGGCGGTCGCGAAAAATTTGTTTGCAGGGTCGAACGTGATGCCTTTTACGTGACTTGAGTGGACGGTTATGGTCTTGAGCTTCTCGAAGCTATGTCCCGACCAGACCACAATCTTGGAGTCCAAGCCAACCGACACCAGTATGGAGGAATCGTATGACCAGGCAAGGTCCTGAACATCGTTCTCGTGTCCGACGAGTCGCTTATACGTCTTCCAGTTCTCGACCGGTGGGGGTTCGGCGCCAAGTCCTGTAATCTTGCATTAGCATCCGTCACGTCGAGGGCATAGTGCAGTGGGTTTCGGCAGGAGCGCATTACCAAATGAAGCGACTGGAGGGTTCTTGTCAAGATGGTAGACGCAAATAAGCTTGTCATCGGCACCTGATGCGAGATATCGACCATTTGGGGAGAAGCGAACAGAGTGAATAGTGCCGAGGTGATGGCTCATGTGGCAGAGCTGTCTCGGCTTGCCTTCTGCGTCACCATTCGCATCGCCATAGATGGCCTCGGTTGACCACACTCTGACATGGCCATCACCTCCTGCGGTCGCGAGTCGTTTCCCATCGGAGGATACGTGACAGCTGTACACCTCGAAGTCCTTTTGCTCGCCGGAATGGCTCAGCCACGTAGGCTTAATGACGCGCATCGCGAATGGCCCCCAGGGTCATTTAGACCAGGTCCACGGTCGAAGAGGAGGGTTGGTATGGGAATGCGACGTTAATCGGGTTGTTGCTGGAGCTCTCGTCGATAAATAAGGCGTTGCGATTGATGCGCCGTGATGTGGTTGGTGATAGTGAAGCTGGGGAACCTAAAGCTGAATACACAAAAAAAGGCGACAAGCTACACAGGTGGGCACAAATTGGGGTTGATTGAATCACAAGAAAACGCGTTTTGCGGAGCCCGGACGCCCTGGAATTCGCGTCCAAAGCTCCTGCTGCTGCGTACGCTAAATGAGCGGCCAATTGACACCGGAACTGCAAAGGTACGTCTTGAGCTGCTGCACAGACCACCTTCACGGTCCGACAGAGGCTCGGGACGGATTAATGACCCTCCTCAATCTACGTACCTCTACTGCACACCATACCTAGGTAGGTACCTGATGAACCAAGAAGGAGCGAAGGGCGAAAGATGAGGTAATCGCCTTTCTTCCGTCCAACTCCCCGGAGCCGGACCATTCTGGTGGAGCATCTTACCGGCGTTATCGCGGAGCGGAGTCGGCTAGCAATCCCTCCTTGAGTATCCACATTTCCGTGATAATTAGCCCAAAATCGGTCTTCCTGTTCATCCATCTTTGTACTCATCGCTCTACCTTAGGATTTTAGTCGGCGAAACATGCCACGGCAAGATCATAACAAATCAAGCTGACAAACCCTGCCCGAATCCCCCTATCCAGCGGTAACGTTATCCATCATTCATGACTGAAATATTCTGTTTAGGAACGACATAGCCTCAAATCTTTCGTATTTATATAAAGATATATGAATTGGTATCTTCCCCCAGATGCTTTCCAATCCATATCTGTATCACGCTATCCTTCTTGCATACTTGAAATGCCACGCCACAATCCAGTATGAGTTCACACGAGAAGAAAATCTTGGTCGTCCTGGGCGCCACGGGCAACCAGGGAGGCTCCGTAGTTCGAGCATTCCTGAACGACACGACTTTGTCCAGCTATTGGCACGTACGAGGTGTAGCTCGAAACCCATCTTCTGAGTCCGCGGTCAAATTATCAAACGTTGGAGCGGAAATGGTCTCTGCCTCTCTCGGCTCCGTCTCGGAGCTCAAGTCAGCTTTCGAAGACGCAACGGCAATTTTCGCAGTGACAGACTTCTGGAGCGCCATTAAGACCGAAGAAGTCAGACACAGGGTCCAAAGCGAAGGAATTGATCTCGCAATTGCTACTCAGGACCTAGAGGAGACTTGGGGCAGAAATATCGCAACAGCGGCAGCCGGCATATCGACCCTAGAGCGCTTCATCTTTAGCAGTCTCCCACCTGTCTCCCAACTCAGTCAAGGAAAGCTGAAGCATGTTCACCACTTTGACGGCAAAGCCAACGTTGTCCAGTACATTCAACAAAACCATCCCACACTCTGGGTTAAGACTTCACAGATTTTGGTTGGATTTTACAACTCCAACATCTTATCCGACTCATATTTCGGACCCAACTTCAATCCATTGACAGGAAAAACCGAGTTCGAGGGGCCCGTGAGTGACGACAATCTTATACCGTTCATCGATGCCCCGTCCAGTACCGGAAACTTTGTCAAGGCTCTGATTCTTGATGTGCCAGCGGGTACAATCTTGGCGGCTTACGACGAGATGAAGTCGCTCGGAGAATGCGTCGAGTTTCTACGTAGGGAAACGGGTCGGGACTTTGTTTTTGTGCAAAGAAATGTCGATGAAATGGCGGCCGAATCGCCGCTAGGTCGTGAGGCTCCTGAGAGCTGGGTTTGGCTCGCAGAATATGGTCTCTTTGGAGAGAAAGTTGAAGGATGGAAAGAGTTTCTGACATTACCCGGAGGTCTGGAAAGCCAGATTGAAGCGGTCAAAATGGACGAATGGCTTTCGGCACAGGACTGGAGCAAGGCCTTTCGATCGGCTTAGTGTAGGTATGCAGTCGCAGCATCTTTACTATTACAACGCAGGATACACAAGCTAGTACTTTTTCTTCTCATCTTCAAACGATTGATCGGTATTTTGTTCGAACCAATGTCATATAAACATGCCACGGCATTTCCATGGAGCTGACTCCTTGTTTTGCTCCTTGCGGCAGATGTCTTTGGACTTTGGCTTATCTGGTATCCATGGTTTCCATCAATCTTATTATCTTGATACCATCGCTTCCGTCTCTAGTCCTTGGACGAACCCATGCCTTCGCGATAACACGTTGGAAGATAGTATACATCGGCCGACGCCGACGAAGAAATTCGTGATATCGCAATTCGCTGGCAACCAATTCCTAAGCGAAGCATCCGACGTTGAAATGTCTTGCCTGATTGAGCACCAACGCCGATGCGGGCACAACGACCCGTGGCCGCACAGCATCACATGCGAGCCTGGCAACATGAAAAGCCAAGAACCCAAGGAGAAGGTGCAAGCAGGTCCGGGCGTCTCCGACAACAGCTAAAGACCACAAATAATCAGGTAAAGAGATATGCCTCGAATCAGATTGTCCGGCATCGGGTGAGCGGCACTTGATCCCTGTTTTCAAGGAGCGCTTCTCCCCCACTGAAGCTTGATTAAGGTTAAGCAAGTTCGCTTGGAAACCGGTTGCGAGAAATGAAGATGGAGCTTCGACAGCTAGGAAACTCTCAACTCTATTGATGTGGTGCAATCAATTTGGCTCGCGGCCGGATTGTTTACTGGCTTGTGCTCTGAATACCTAAAGTAGACTACAAGCTCCCACCTGGAACTGCTGTAGGTGATGGGAACAAATGGTAAATACAATCACAAGAAACCACACCGGATTCGCGTTGATGACTTCTCCACCCACTGAATGATTACCTACGCTGATCTCCCGGCGATGGGACGAACGCGCCACGGCTGAGCTGTAACCTCATGGAGAAGGTAGGTAACGAGGCAACCTGTAAGCTTCGCAGCAAGCGCTTAAGCTGAAAGGCGGCTTTGCTTTTGCCTCTTCCCCCGACAGATTGCAGCCCACCAGAGCGCAGACAAACCCCCGTGGCAGAATGATAGGGACAGCCCGAACGTTTCAAAACCCACTTCGAGGTTAAGCCTATTTTGACAGCTGGTTAAGAGAATGGTGGACCGGAGCTGGCCGCCAGGGGGGAATAATAGGCAATGGCGGGAAACCACAGGGAATCAGGGACTGAGAAGGGCGCAACTTCAGACTCAAATGCGGGGATTTCGAACGCCGTGTGGGACGGGAGACACGGGAAAGACTTCCTCACCCGGCTTAGGAACGCTTTTTGTCTTCTTGTTGACATTACACAGTTGGTGCTTGGCCCCGGATTGGGGTCGCAATGCCGTCGGTAGATGCGCCTGACTAGCGCACGACATCCATGTCCGCAACACCACTCAACGGGTGCCATGAAAGCACTGGGCACGACTTGATTTGTTAGTCCTTTACGTGTCAGCAAGCGCGCAAGTCTTAGCAAAAGGAACCCTACGGTTACACTAACGAAGCTGAGTGGGAACCTCTCAAAGCTCGAGTTGAACCAAGGCGGGCCGGACAGGTTTCCCATGCGTTATGACCTCTTTATTTTCCAGCCAACCACGTCGGCGTTCCTGGCCATGCGCGATAAGATCCCTAAAAACACCTTCCACATTCAGGACCGGGGATCGACAAGTGGACACGGCGGAGTCGCGGACGCGCTGACACCGCTACCCTGGGAGACTTGGGGACTTTGTGCTTTCGCTTGGCTGTTGCTTGCCGTACTGTAGCATCACACTGGAGTCGGGGTCCTCACAATAATTGGAAAGTCAGTTTGGCCTTTTATTTACAGACAGCATCCGTGTATAAAGACGATGAGGTTTCCCACGATGAATTAGGCTTGAGAGAAGCTCCTCAGGCCCAGTCATCCAGTCTTCGTCTCCCATCCCTTTCCCAACAACACCAACTACAACCGCCAAGATGCAGTTCTCCGTCGTCCTCGTCTCACTCTTCGCCCTGGCCGTCTCCGCCGCCCCCGCCGAGATCCAGAAGCGCTCAACCACCTGCGGCAGCACCACCTACTCCACCGCCCAGGTCAACGCCGCCTCCAGCGCCGCCTGCACCCACGTCAAGGCCGGCACCGTCGCCGGCAGCTCCACCTACCCCCACCGCTACAACAACTACGAGGGCTTCGACTTTGACGTCACCGGCCCGTGGTACGAGTTCCCCATCAAGACCAGCGGCGTCTACACTGGAGGTGAGTTGTCCCCCATCGTCACGTGCGACATGTTCGAGTGGCGCAAGCATCGCTCAAGTGGTGATACACTGCTTCAAACTGTTTACTGACTCTTTACCTAGGCTCCCCCGGTGCCGACCGTGTCGTCATCAACGCTTCTTGCGGCCAGGCTGGCCAGATCACCCACACTGGCGCCAGCGGCAACAACTTCGTTGGCTGCTCCGGTACCTCCTAAATGCTGGGTTAGAGGACTTCGTTGGGATTAAAGGGATGTGGTTATGAAAAGGCCAAAGGGCCTGCTTATGGGTTATGAAAATTCACTTCTGCACATATTAAGCCTGTCGAATATACATAACTGTCAAAATTCTACCGCTGTGGTGCCTGAGCATTTTGTTTCCTTGTGACGAATTCCTAAAGAAGTAATGACGAGACTGTTGCTCCAGTATTTAGCTGAGGTAGGCATACAGCCAGGTTCACTAAGATGAATCTGAGCGGCTTGTGGAAGATTAAATATTTGACTCCTACCATGTACCTTATTACAGAATCTTTGTCATTCCTGTCTTGATGTGTGATCATTGGGATTCATCACTACTAGTACGCGGTGTTCAATACCATTCACCCGGTTCGTCATTTTGATTATTTAGTAGGTAGTGAAGGCATGGAGAATGAACACCTCCGCTCCGCGCCCGGGTTGCTTTCAACCACTCACAGCCGTCTCGGCCCCGGAGCGCGGGCCGCTCCGCTGCGTCCCGACACGGCAATTAGCGTGGTGGGTGTGCCGTCCGAGGAGAGGCCGCCTCCAGACTTCCTCGGCTCAGCTTTGTGGCACATCTATATGGGGAACCGTGGTTCATGCTGACGGATTCTTGGAATGAATGTCCCCCTCAATCTCGATCGTTGTAATCCCAACACGTTTCCGGCTCACTGAACATCATTTCCGAGTGTCTCATATTCACGTCATTCTCAAAACCACTACTTCCAGCTAGGGCGAGGAGTGTCTCTCAACACCATTGCTGATGATTTCCCAAAGCAGACACAACTTTCAGAGGCCCTACTCATTATGGAGCAGACATTCAATGTGCTAGGCACTTGTCCCTGCCGTCGCTGAAAGCCCGCTGCTCATATCCGAATGGTTACGGCAAGGCTCGCTGGTATGGACAAACGCGCTTAGAGCTAACTTTAAAAATGTACAAGTCTCAGATCCCCGCGTATCGTTTGACATTACGAAGAAAGCTTCTTAGCATGTGAAAGACTGCCTCTTCGTCTCACAGCCTAACAGATTTGGCCCTTATTGCTATTGAAAAGTTGGGCGAGGTGGACTAGGCTTCACGGCGGCCGTATTCAACGACTTAGTGCGGAGTTGAATTCTCTCATCTACCTGAGTCTGATCTCAACCTTGAAATCAATTGAGACTATTTAATCCCAAATAATCATGGAACGCTTTCCATTGAATAGAAACTTCCAGGGGAGGCCGAAGACCGAAGACCAACAGGTGGTGAACTATGCCATTCCGTATGATCCTAACCCCATTTCTCTGAGACAGATAGAGAGCCATGGTAGATCATTGCTGGCGTGTGCAGTCGAAACTCCCAGACAGCCCAGACGGCGGCATGAGCAGCTCCGAAGCTTGTCTCAAAGCAGACAGCTGTGTAATTATGATTTTAAGAGATGGCAGAATACTTATAACAAGTGGCAGGGGACCATCCATCGAGCTTCTTGACCTGTCCAGATCATTCCCATCACTTGTCTCGAGAGAAACTCTGCCCTTAATCATGGCGTCAGCTACTAGTGAAGGTCAGCCGTTCATCTCCCAGATCCAGCCGCCTGAATCACAATCACGATCACAGTCCGACTTTGCAGACTGCGCCCACAGAACAGAGAAAACTACCAACACCAAGCGCATCATCGTCTGCTGTGACGGTACATGGAACAACTCGTCAGTCTTCCACGTATCTCACTACCCTTCTGTCGCTTACTACTATACTCCATAGAAACAAAAGGGGAGGCATTCCTACTAACGTGGCCCGCCTGTCGTCTGCCATTGCCCGCAAGTGCTGTACGGGTATGCCGCAGGTCGTCTACTACCACCGAGGAGCCGGAACCGAGGAATCAAAAGTTGCCCAGACTCTCGGTGGAGTTTTCGGGAAAGGCATAGTTCAGGTCAGTCTCTATTTGGAATATCCGTGGTAGAACAACGGGTGTCGCTAACGCTTCAGTGCGGTCGCTTAGGACATCGCTGATGTTTACCGATTCGTTTGCGATAATTACAACCCAGGAGATGAGATTTTCATTGTCGGATTCTCCCGCGGAGCCTTTACCGCGCGATCGGTCTCCGGATTGATTTGCAATCTTGGGCTTTTGAATCGTGTCGGCCTATCACAATTCGGGGCAATCTTCCATGACTACCAGACCTTCCCCAACTGGAAATATCCGGGAAGCTTTGACAAAGACGATCATTTGGTAGGCTTTACACTTACCAATTTCATGCGCCGTAAGAAGCAAAAGGCATCCGAGGACGACAAGGTCGAGGAACGTGAGAGTGCTGCTCTAGAGGAGGAGTTGAACGAGGATAAAAGAAAGTTCTTCGAGACAATGACCACATATCGTGAGAACAGGAAGGGTTACGGGCCGATGGATCTCCGCAAGATGGCTGAGAAATACAGAGACAGACTTGAAGAGGTAAGACGAAAGCTGTCACTTTGGTCTGGGATTCAATGCATTGACCATTACTTTCACAGCACGGCATGGTTCTCACCAAGTGGGAGACGCAAGTCCGAGATGGCCAGTTGGGCCTCTTCCCGGTCCCCACGGACGTCAATGTTAGAGCAGTTGGTAAGTCTTTGAATCCTCAGCCCCACAAAGAATAACAACCCAGTCTGATTGCCCTTAACACAGCTGTATGGGATACTGTTGGAAGTCTAGGCTGGCCAAAAATGCCCTGGGAGAAGGTCCGCATCGGCCGTAGCGCCGAGGAGGTGAGTTCACGCTTTCACAAGTGGCCAAACCTATTGACCTATTCAATGTGAAAAGCACGACTGACACAATCAGCTTCGATTTGCAAGTCTCGACGTCAATCCCAAAGTGGACTATGCCTTCCATGCCCTCGCACTGGACGAATGGCGCACCGCATTCAAACCGACATTGTGGGGCAAGGATAACAATACACACACGCAGCTTCGACAGGTCTGGTTTCCCGGTAGCCACAGTAACGTTGGTGGAGGTTTCGAGGACCAACAAATCGCCACTATTGCACTTGCCTGTAAGACCTCCCGGCGCCGAATGATTAAAAAACACCATCGCGGAAGTCAGCTAACAACATAAAATAGGGATGGCGGACCAACTTACCTCTATCGGTGTTGAGTTCAGCACGCCCGAGATGAAGCGGCTTTTCTACACCCTCGCTCCTGGTGTCGAACCCCGACCATGGGCCTTGGGAAAGATTTCCAATCCCGGGAAGGCCACGTCGATCCCTGACGAGGCATACAACGCGATTTGGTACCCATGGCAAAAGTTAAAGGGTGATAACACTGTCTTGGGCACGCGTACTCCGGGCTTATACAAGACCGACGATGGGAAAAACAGGCTTGTGAACCCTAATCAGCTCATTCATCCCTCCGTACGAATCCGATACCTTTACGACGGCAAAGGTCTCGATGATGCTGGCGTATGGGAATGCGCAGCCTTGATGCAAAATGGATTCAAACTCGAGAAGAGTACAGAGCCCCTCAAGATCGATGACCCATACCCCAAGACTCCTATTGCATCGACCTACGAAACACTCACGGGTACCGTCTCATCCGTTCACGGCGGCCATACAATGGACCTTGAATCCCACAAGGGACACACTCTTGTTGTCCACCAAGTGCCGTTCGAAGCCGACCTCTGCCTTCTGGAACAAGCCGAAAACCACTGGATTTGGACCCGAGATAACGCAAAGGAGGGTGCGAGGATTTTGCACGAGGAGCGCATCGGGATGTGGGAACGTCTCTTCATCGACATCAACCACAAGCTGGTTTTGCGCCAAAAGCATGAGGAACTAAAGAGGGCCAAAATCAAAGCTATGCAGCCTGAAGAGAAGCAGACTTGGGGACAATGGTTCAAGGAAAAGGCCGACACAGCCAAGGGAGCTGCTGGAAAGGCCCTCAACAATACCGTTGTCGGGAGATTCCTCGGGCCATCCGCCAGGCTCAAGCCCTTGGACTACCCCAAACATTTTGGATACCATGACTTCGTTTCTTGGCAGCGTGGCGATGTCAGAAAGACACGGCTGCAAAATCCTTGGGAGAAGAGTAACAAGACTGCGGAATACTAAGTCGACACCAAGTGATGAACGTAAATTAGCTATCTTGAGCTAGACGTAGGGGAAATGAATTCATCTTGCCGAGAAGCTCTTTCCATCCTCGCACATAGACAGCCCGAAAATCAAACGCCCTGTAGTAGAGCTTTTCAATTCAATTTAAGTGCCCTGTCGTAATTACTGTACATAGTGGGAACAGAGCCCTAGGTAAATCTGACAACTTCTACGACGCCCCCCGTCCCCTCCAAATTGAAGTGTAGATCAATCAAAGAGCCCATAGAATTGAGCCATTTCGTGTTGCAAGACCTTACGTTATGTTTTCTTGGCAAAGCTCACTCGACAAGGAAAGAAGCCACTCGGATTGGCTGCCCCCCCGCGGCTCACCAGATACACAGGATCCCCATGATACTTCTCTGCCCGCCCGGTCTCTTCATATGCAGGTTTGAAATCGAATTCTCTCGTAGTCAGAGCACACAACATCTTGATCTCAGCCAAAGCCATCTCTTGCCCTATGCAACTCCTGGGTCCTCTCTCGAAGGGACGCCAACCATTGGCAGGAGGTTGCAGAGGGTCATCTTTACCCTTCACCAACCAACGGTCTGGGAGGAACTCGCTTGGGCGAAACCAGTACCGTGGGTTATGATGGATTGCGTAGTGGCTGACATAGACGTTGCACTTTTCTGTCGGCAGGGGCTCCAAAGCTGCTACAGATTTCTCGCCCGGATGAGTCTTTGCAGCATCAGAGGAGGCCTCAATGAATACATTGAAATCTCGATTACCCAGTCTTTGAGTTGCTCCGGGAGGGTAGATACGCAAAGACTCTTTGATGACGGCAGTTGTGTACGGGAGCTGGTTGAGCAGCTTCGGCTGAGAGGCTATCAGGCCTGCTGTTGCCCCCAAGTCAGGGCCGAAGACGTCATCGTGCTCAGCTCGAACGCGTGCCAGTACTTCTGGGTGCTGTGACAATAGGTTGGTCATGAACACGATCGATGAACCGGTTGTGTCATACCCTGCAAGCATCATGAACTTGATTTGTGACCGAATAACATCGGGAAGTATCCGCAGGTGGCCTTGGTCTTGTGGTGAATTGGCGGTATCCAGTATTGAGATGGAATTTGCTTGTCTGGTTTTGGCAGCTTCTGAGTTCTCCTGTAATACTTTGTTGATGTACGAGTTCATCCGCCAAGTATTGTAGCATTGTACCAAGGGCCTGATGAAGTTAATGTCTCTTAGCGGCGAAGTGCCGCGATAATGCAGCCAGCTGAGCTGCGAAGCCATCGCGGCGGCAAAGTCGTTGTAGCCTGTTTGACAATGCATGTCGTGGCCCATGATAGCCTTGCTCGAAAAGTCCATGGTAAGATCGAGGGCCATCGGGCTCAAAGAAGCTACTTCATTCTTCTCTGCACATTGGCGCAGGCGATCACAGAAATTCCCAGCTATTTCGACCAAGCTCGGCACCAACGCCGTGATGTTCGCGACTCGAAAGCCGGGGCTGAAGATATTATGCCAGAATTTCCATTCCTCGCCTTCCATGGTGTCCAGGTCGTAGCCACCTGTCAGCGGTTTCAGGAACTCACGCTGACCTGGTTCTTTCGGGAGAGATTGGCCTTGGGTCACCTGTCGAGCTCCATCTGGTGACAGAACGACCAACATGGGCTTGAAAAAGGGCCACTGGTCCAAGTAGAACGCCTGGTCGAGATGTGGGTAACGCAGGCGGATTTCATGGGCTAGTGCTGCCGATGGCATGATGTCAGGTGGTAAATCTTTCAGAATAATTCCGATAAGTTTGAGATGGCCCCAGATTGGGTCGTGAGGGGGCATTGGTAGGCCTCGACGCTGAAGCGATCTGAAGAAGCTACGAGCGCTGTACAAGGAGTAAAAAAAGTAGAGGGTAGACACTAAACAGCCTGCCCCTAAGGCTTGCCAGGCCATCGATAAGCTGATTTTTTCCATGATGGTTCGAATGCGAATGTCAACCAGTTGTGAAAAGGTTCAAAAGGGCAAAGAGCTACGGCTGGACAGGTGAATAGAAGTGAGAAACACGCACCCTCAACAATCACTTGGCAACTTTTCAAACGGGCCCCATTTTGGCGACTATGACCAGACGTGCGTAGAATTGCGACCATTCTCAAGCCATCGGGAGGGGGTAAAGTTCATGTCGACCCCGCGTTGAAATCAAAAAGCTTAAGTTTTCCAACACCGAGTACCTTGTTCCGCGTAGCACCGGAAGCTCGTGTTCGGTATCGTATAAGGTGCTTTGCTAGGAGCTCAATCTGATTCGCTAATTGTTACTGGGTAAGTACTATATCAGATGAAGTCTTGTGAGACCGGCGAGGAGCGTTGACCACTGCCCCAATGTCCAACCACCCAGTCCCCGACTGTTGTGTATGGGAACAAAGAAATCAGGATGACAATTAGCGGTGGTATTCCGCCTACGGTGGTTCAGTCAAGCCTTTACGAGATTACGTGTATTTCAAGAAAAGAAACAAGAATATATGCAGATAATTACCATGTGGTGAATCGACCGATCATGGGAAGGACTCAAATACACGAGGGGCTTTAGACGGTACAAACCCATAGCATGAACAGACTCAGGTAGCAAGCTTCCTGAGTATTGTATTTCCAAAGATATCCAGAGTCGAATGTCCTATTCTGTGGCGTTTATATGAGTATATATAGGGGTATTGTAGCCATATTGAATTGTCTCACTGTAAAGTAGGGGATAAACATATGCCTTCAAATATACGAGATAAGATGGTACTTCTGAACGATTGAGGTTGAGAAAGTTCTACTCTGGTACAGTACGAACGGAGAAAATGCCTCTTTAAGCCTTGTTCAATACCTGCTCATGCACTTCCCGATTAATAAACGCGGAGTTTTGCCGAGATATCAAGCACGCCATTGTATGCCTGCCTTTCGCCCATATCATTGGTGTTTACGGACTCGCACTTACTCGCTAATTGTAGGTGCTTTGCCAAAAGAAATGATCCAACCCATGTTCCCGACATCGGTAATTCCTAAAGAGGCGTCTGAGTTATCGACATGGTACGCTGGAAGCCTGGCTACTCATTGGCCTCACGACAACTGGGAGGCGGAAGGAGGTTCTGTGGCGTTACATATCATGACTAGTAGACGCACTCTGACCTGACTGTCGATGTCGCCATGGGACCCGCAGAAGACGACAGTCAACCCGACTTCCGAGCCACAAGATCTGAACGAGAAGTCACAGACACTGCGCTTGTAGATAAACTCATAGATTCCCGTTGCGAAAATTTAGGGAGTGCAGATACATGCTTTACGTCACATTGATCTCACGTCGCATCTCTCGCTTGAATAAAATGACGCTTCCGGACGAAAAGAACTCCAAAGATGCCTTCATCATCGGCGCAAGCGAAAACGAGGCTCATGATGAAGTCAAAGTCCCTTATCATGCAGATACCGAGAGATCAGTCTACGTCGACTCTAAGAGAACATGGAGATCATTTTTCTGGTCGAGTGAGTCGCTGGAGATACGGAGCAATGAAGAAATGATCGAGGGTTTCAATTACTGACTTCAATGTTCTATCATAGCCCTTGATGTTCCAAAAGATGAGGCACGATTTCTGACCAAGCTCGATTTGACACTCATATCAGCATCGGCTCTCGGCGTTATGTGTCGATATCTTGATCAAGTCAATATCACGAATGCATTTAGTTAGTGTTCAAACCTAGTGTTCTTCCTGGGCTTTGCTAAATGTCCTCCTAGACAGTGGCATGAAAGAGGATCTTTCGTTGTTCGGAAAGGAACTCAACTACGCCAACGCTATTTGGAGTGCAGCATACGTCTTCGGTCAGATACCGTCGAACCTACTTCTCACTCGAGTGAGTCTTGACAACTCAGCCTCTCAAAAAGAGTACATAGTTGTTGATAAAATCCTAGGTCAATGCTCCTCTTTACATTGCGTTCCTTGAGTTTGCCTGGACGGTCTTCACATTCGCGACTGCCGGGGTCAAAGATGTCAATCAACTCTACGTGTTCCGCTTCTTGTAAGTTGCATCATTGCCAAGCTGTCGCTATCAGTATGCGTCGTAAACTCAATAATCCCGCTTTAGCGTTGGTCTGTTTGAAGCAGGACACTTCCCAGCCGTCATGTATGTATGTTCGAGCTACTACAAGCCACACGAACTGGCGCGGCGCAACACATTGATCCAAGTTTTCACTTCTGTCGGACCACTTTTCTCCGGCTTTCTGATGGCCGCTGTCTATGCTGGATTAGACGGAAAGAGTAGTCTCCCGGGCTGGCGATGGATGTACATGTAAGTGCAAAGAACCCCCTACACACAGCCAAGGCAATGTGCAACTTACATGCAATCATGCTAACAAAAGGTCAGCGTTTGCGGATGCATCTCCCTCCCTTGTGCGATATGGACGGCATTTGCCATGCCCCAACTCCCTTCTCGGGCTAAAGCGAATTGGTATGAAATATCCGAACCATTCCCGTAGATGGGCAACGGCATTACGGCAACTAATAGGATGATTTCTTCTCCCAGGATCTTCACCGAGAAGGAAGTTCAGCTCGCCCGCGCTAGGATGCCTACCGAAGTCAGACCTTACACTGGGTTATTCAAGTGGAAGGATATCAAGCGATGGCACACGACGTGGCACGTCTACCTCTGTAAGAGATCCATGCCGCCAACGAAGACATTTCGTCAGAACTGACAAGTAAAGTCCCGCTGTTTTTCACGTTCCTTGCTCAACTAGGCCAGTCTGGTGGATCGAGTAAGCTTTTGCAGGAATAAATTCCCCCATGAGAGAGCAGTCACTCACTGTCAGTACTTACTCTAGTGATCTTCTGGGTCAAAAGCTACAACGTAGCCGGAAAGCCACCACGCTTTTCCGTAGCAGAGATCAACATCATCCCGCTCGGAGTGAGTTTTCTGCACTTGAACTAAGGTACTACTCAACCATATCATATGTAGCTTACAGTCCGGCTAGATCAACATCATTTCCATCTTCGCCACCCTTGTAAACTCTTGGGTTTCGGACAGCTTACCCGGAGCAGCTCGATGGCCTGGTATGTTATTTGCCAGTGTCATGGCAATCATTTTCCCCATTGCACTAGCGGCCACGCCTGTGCATCCAGCAAACATAGCGACTCGATGGGCATTGTATTGTAAGTCTCTCCTCGTCCACCATGAAATCTATTTCACGTTACTTACTGTTCCCTTTCACTAGACCTTACCGCTCTTGCAAGCACATGCGCTGGCATCACATGGACATGGGTGAACGAGACGAACCGACACGACCCCGAAAAGCGGGCATATGTGTCTGCAATGGTTTGTCTTACTAATTTCAACTTGTATCTATCAATAGCATATCAATCAGAGCTAACGTCACATGTCACTCTCAGATGAATGCGTTCGCCTACATTTTCACGGCGTGGGTGCCCATCTTCACTTTCCCCGCCAACCTTCAGCCGTACATCGTTACTGGAAATTACATTACAGCTGGATTCGGAGCAGCGGCTGCAGTGACTGTACTGGTCATCCGCCACTTTTACAACCGGGACCTGAAGAGACAAAGCGAGCTCAAATTCTGAAAGCGCTTCACTTACAGATATCGAGGGTTGTAGAGGCCTGACATCCTTTGGTCAAGAGTCTTGCATTGACTCTTGTGGGACTACAATACATGTACCTAACTCAAGCGATTAGCACAGCAAAGGGCAGCAATGGACGCCTCTCTTTACTAAGAATAGAGTGTGCTGTCTCTTGGCTTCTATTTTTCACATCCGATACTCGCCAAGTCCAATGACAGTTTTTCGCAAATTATAGGCTTTTATTACCGGGCTGTACCTATCTATCGTGAGGTAGATCCGAGCCCCAAGACGCAGAAGCCGCATAGTCGCGTTACAGAGATGTAATCGGGATTGGCGCGCGTAGTCCCATTTTGTTTAGAATCTTAGCACCAACATCAAACATGACAAAGGCCAGCCAACGATGTTTTGCAAACATCAAGCGAACCCAATCATGAATGTACCGTTGTGGGCCAAGTAGTCTCAGCACTTGCTTTCCAGTGTGGCTCCTCCAATGCCGGGACGTCATCACACTTGAGCAGCATGCGATGACTGCATGCTAATTCCATCGACGCACGATAATTCTGCTGCAGCGTCCCCAGAATGTAAGACCTAAACAAGAAGAATTAAGCGCTCCAACCTCTGGATAACCCACGCTAGTTGCGCACGAGAGGGCGTGCCGTGTAGATCACTGGGGCAGAAGGAAGTGCTTAGCGCTACCCTTTTTCTTCCCGTCCGTGAACTTGACCTCCCCCCTCGTCCGCCTTCCGGCCAGCGGCCCCGTTGCCGATGTGAAGTTATTAGAAGGATGAAGTTACCCGCAAGAATTGAGATGAAAGTAGGTCTAAGCGCTGTCACTGGTGCAGAATGTAGGCATGACGCCTCATATGGCTTAAATCATCGGTGGCTGTGTACAGATGATGTTCATGTCTGGATCCATCTTGCCGGCGCTGGCCTTGGATCGCATGGGTCGTCGCAAGACAATGATGTGGGGATGTGCTGGACTTGGCATTTGCATGCTAATGATCTCGATCTTGCTGTCACGGGTAGGCTTTACCGGTGGTCAGGCTTGTGCTTCGGCATCTGTGGCATTCTTCTTCCTGTAAGTTTACCTGCTCAGTATGTACGCGACGTGCTTCGAGATATTCATTAATGGGATAATCAGGTACAACCTCATATTCGGCATGGGGATGAACTGCGTTCCATGGGTCGTTGTTCCCGAGATCCTGCCTCTCCACGCTTGAACCCGAGGTACTCCCGTAGGCATTAACTCCAACTGGCTGTGGAACTTCTTTGTCGTCATGATCACCCCAGTCATCATCAATCGTCTTCAGTGGAAGGCCTACCTCATCTTCGTGGTTACCAAACTCTTGTTTGTGCCAATCATCTGCTTCTTCTTTCCCGAGACGAGCAACTTCAGATTGGAAAATATCGACGAGTTCTTCGCATCTGGTGGCAATCCGGCCAAGATTGCAAAGGAAATTTCAAAAGCAGTGGAGGCTGAGAATGATAGCGAAAAGCTGTCAAGCGTTTCTGAGAAAGAGAAGGTAGAGGTCGAGCACTCGTAAAAGTCCAACAGGATCGAAGGCTCAGACCTGGGGGTGTGCGATGGCGGGTGAGACAGGTAATAACGTTATGCTTCAGTTCTCCAAGTCTTACTCATCAACTGGGGCGTGAGTTGGCTGACCCAGTGAACTCATTCCCGTCTCAGAAACTCATAACGTTGTGCCCCAAGAACTGGGCGACTGAACGGACTTATCAAAACAGCCAATGTGAAGATCACTAATGTTGAGTTGCTATAAAAACAACGATGGGAAGTCTGGGATCAAAAGGTGGCTATAATCACCAATCGTCGATCTACTCTTTTTCTAGCGACTTGGACATTTATCTCACAAACATGATGAAACCCATTAAGAATATTGCCGTATTTGGCGTAAGTCACTGATCTACTATCGTGATTACTTAGAGTCCCTAACCAATTGGAAAGGCGAATGGCGCATTAGGAGAGGTTCTTATCCCAGCACTTCTGCAAGCCGACTTTGACGTAGGGTGCATCACTCGATTCGGCAGCCAGAAGAGCCTTCCAGCCGGTGTGCACGCCAGACTCTCCGACTACTCGAACGTCGAAGCTCTCACAAAGGTCCTGGAAGGTAAAGACGCCATTGTCGAAGCTTTCAATCCAGCAGCCGCATCCTACCAGACCAACATCTTGCAAGCAGCCTTGGCTGCCGGGGTCAGACACATCGTCACCCCAGACTTCAGCGGCAATACGTTTCATCCCAACGCCAAGGAGACTCTCATCTTTGACCCGAAGTTGACAGCTCAGCGTGAACTAGAACGCATTGTCGCTGAGTCGAACGGGCTGTTGTCATGGACGGCAATCATTACTGGTCCGTGGTACGACTGGACTATCGAGCGCGGAATCTTTTGGATCAACAAAGAAGGACGAACCATTACTCGCTACGGTTCTGGAGACCAAAGATGCAGCATCAGTCGCCGTGCCCTCAACGGCGAAGCCCTTGTTGCTGTGTTGACTAATCCAGAGAAGTACCGGAATAGGGCTGCCTACTTTGCCAGTCATACTGTATCGACAAATCAGTTGATTGCACTGATCGATGATCTAGGCCTCGAAGGTTGGAAGACTGTCGACGTGCCATTTGACGGGTTCACAGAGAAGGCTCGTGCTTTGTGGAGAGAGGATACAGAAAGGGATGTCGAGGACAGACTCAATTCCAGGGCATATGCTGCTCTTTCCACCGTGGCACTGCTGGATGAGGATAATTACTACGGTTCCAACTTCGAGAATCAAGTCGAGCCCGGATGGGACGAGGGCGAGACCGCGCTGAAGGAGAACTTGAAAAGACTTGTTATTCATGATTAGTCGGTAGATCATGGCTACGGTTGAAGAAGAAATTTACAGAATTTCATGATATGTGCGCGTCAAATACTCTGGAGTAAGGCTGATGATGCTGGTTTCTCACAGAGAGCGTGATAATGACTATCGACACGAGGCGATGTGCCTGGTAACAATCATATTGATAATTACCTTACGCAGGGCTTGCTGACTAACAAACACAGCTGAGAACTTCAGGCTGTGGAGGAGAGACCACGAGCTGCGAGCCGCAAATGTAATTCGCTGATGGAAAGGTGATCAATCGCCTTGGGTTCATTCTTGGGCTTCTTGGCCAAAGGATGGCGTGTGGCAGCCAATACCGGGGTGACGAGAATGTTCGCAAGAGCTACAGGTTAGCGATACTGGATGTTCACCAGCTGGTAGACGAATCGCTGCGGCTTGAGGCACGCATGGCTCGTAAAGCACTGTCTAAGTAGCCAATCGGTTGGGGACCAGCATCAGACCTGAGGAAGTGGATTGGTAAGTTGTTATTAGCGAAAGAGCGCAAGTGAGGGAAGGCCGGAGATTGAGCTGCATCAGGAAACATCAGAGGAGAGGAGCTCTCGGGGAGAACCAGTCATGGCACTTGGTGGATCGTGTCTGTTCGGCCAAGGGGCTGATACGGGGCGTAGGAGAAGTTAGTCGCTGACATTCGATGGGATACGGTTGACTGGCGGAGCCATACCAGAGATGTTGGTGTCCTTGGCCCCTTGGCTGCTTGGCGGAGGGCACAGAATTTATAGAAATTCATATCGTTAAAGGAGGACTGGTTTCATGGCGCTGGCGACTCAGTTGCGATGTTGCAGATGAGAAGCTCTGGGGATGCAGCCGGAGGAAATCCACATGAAGGAACGGGACCCAGCACGTGGTGGATTCGGAACCGGTGATTCGGCAGGTGCGGACTCGGGAGTGGGGCCGCTGTGCTCCTGCCAGCAGCGCTTGGCGCTTGGCGCTTCCTGAGAGCGTGTGTCTTGGCGGTTGACCGCGCCAAGTCGCTTCGGGTGCGCCACACAAATGGATCTCGGTCGATGGTTTAGGAAGGATGCGGCGAGGATGTATCTCCTTCCCTCCTTGACGACCTGTCATCGTCCGTTTGTATTCCGGCAGCTTCTAACGCCCAATGTCCAAGTTTGCGCTTCGTCAATTGTCGGGCACCATCTTGACTGGGGGCTCGGCGAGAAAAATTCAATGCCCAGCCGTCACCGATTGTGTTGGCTGCCCTTGACCACCTAGGATGTTCTTGGATGGTTTTGTGGATTTCCTCCTCGCGTTTCCATTCTATCGCCTCCAGCAGTACCTCTACGATGCCTAGATTCTCCCAAAACTTCGATTTCTGCCAAACATACGACACCGGTTACAACACGTGGGACGCACCAAAATGTGCCTTGCTACTACTAGACTTCCTTGTCCGGCCCTTCGATACCTATCCATCCCGCCCCATGCAGGTTCATGTCAGCCAACCTCTCCACTAGGTTGAGTCTAGCATCTACTTTCTCCCACCCATGGTATGCTCACCATGGCTTTCCGTGCTGAAGGCTCACGGCTCCAGGCCTGCGGGAAAAGATGCAGAAAGGTGTTCGAGCAGCAAAATTTCAGAAGCCTTGGGAGTCTCGTCGATAACAAGTCTTCTCTGCACCGAATATTATCAGGGCAACAAGTAGTGGCAACGATAGACGTCGTCAAAGCAACACAGCAATAACCAATACTTCTCTACCTGTCGAAAAGGGACCTCTAACACCAAATTGGCTGCAGCGCACTCTGGAACCCATGCAACACTGCATAGGCAAATTCTACGAGGACTATTCCACGGGCCAGTATCATTGCAGATTATGGGTGTGGCGAGTACATTTGTGTGGGTAGGGTCGGTACGTCTCTCAGAATCGAGTGTGCCTCACCTGTCTTGCCTCTGCTGATGTTGGCGTGTAGCCACTTCCTCGTCTACGCCCGGGCTTCACACACCGAGAGTCCCCGTCGGGAAGGGGGCACACGTGCATCCTAGCAGGTGGACATGGATTCAATGCACAGAAGAAACGTCTTGGCTATTCTGCCTTCTGGTATATATGCCAGAGTCTATCCCGATGTCTCCCTTCCTGCTCCCATGTCGACTTCTTGAACACCATTCCCTCCCCGGCCTTGCTACCCGCGTCAAAACCAGGGTCTTCCATTTTTTCATACCACCCTTTGAGGCGCGTGGACCTAGTCCTCAGTCCGAATTATCATTTCGATCATCGTCATCTTCCCCGGACATCAGGCTTTGCACAACCTGTGCAAATAAAGTTGAGATGCCACTTCATCAGTACGACTATATTTTCGCCATTGGCACTATCTTCGCATTTCTTGATGCGTGGAACATTGGTACGTACTCTCGAGACTACAACCTGATTGTATGGCCATGCCCAAGCTGACACTTTGGTACTGGTAGGTGCCAATGATGTTGCCAATTCATGGGCGACCTCGGTCTCGTCGCGATCCATTTCTTACATCCAAGCCATGACCCTCGGATCCATCCTCGAGTTTGCTGGTTCGGTTGGTGTCGGCGCCCGTGTCGCAGATACCATTCGAACAAAGATTGGTAGGGACTCTGTTCTGTTGACCAGCAAAGACGTCCAGGCTGATCGTCTGATACAGTGGATATCGACCTATTCGAGAACGACCCGGCTCTCCTCATGCTTGGAATGACCTGCGCGATTGTGGCTTCCTCGATCTACCTTACCTTTTGCACCAAGATCGGTCTCCCGGTATCAACCACTCACTCCATCATGGGAGGTGTCATTGGCATGGGTATTGCGCTTATTGGTGCCGATAATATTCATTGGGTCTCCCCTAGTGGCGGCATCGACTCTGGCGTTGTTTCGGTATTTCTTGCATGGATCATCGCCCCCGGTATCTCTGGTGCATTCGCAGCCATCATCTTCACCATCACCAAATACGGCGTCATGTTGCGGAAGAACCCAGTCATGAAGGGACTGGCTCTCGTTCCTGTATACTTTGGTATTACCGCTTCCCTCTTGACCATGCTGATTGTTTGGAAGGGTGGGTCTATCAAGGTTACCTTCAACGATGCCGAAACTGCCGGAATGATCATTGGTGTCGGTGCCGCTTGGGCTCTCCTCATCACAATATTCTTTCTCCCCTGGCTCTATCGTGTGGTAGTCAAGGACGATTGGCAACTGCGTTGGTATCACATTGCCCTCGGCCCGCTTTTACTTCGCCGTCCCGAGTCACCTGTTCAGCCCGAAGGCTACGGCGGTGGAATCCGCGACTTCTACGCCGGGCACATGACTAAAGAGGAGCTAGAGGTCGCTCGCAGCGGTGGTGTTGTTCAAAGCCCCAGCAACGACATCGAGACTGGCTCTGCTGATGTCGAGAAGAAGGTCGTCCAAGGATCCACAGACTCCCCTGCGACCAGTACTCCCCGTAAAGACTACGTCCACAAGCCCATCGTCGGACCCCGTCCCGAAGGTCCCTGGCACAACGGCGATGTTCTTTTCTGGATGGTCAAGAAAGTCTTCCTGTCTGGTGTCGATCAGGACATTATCAACATGCAAAAGAAGGAGAGCGTACTCACTGGGGATTTGGAGGAGATGCACGCCCGTGTCCAACACTACGACAACAAGGCCGAATTCCTCTACTCGTTCATGCAAGTCATGACGGCATGCACCGCTTCGTTCACGCACGGTGCTAACGACGTTGCCAATGCCATTGGACCCTACGCTACAATCTTTCAAATTTGGAACACTGGTGTTCTCTCTGGCAGCAAGTCTGAGGTTCCGATCTGGATTCTCTGCTTCGGCGGTGCTGGTATTGCTCTTGGTATCTGGACATACGGATACAACATTATGCGCAACCTCGGTAACCGCTTAACCCTTCACTCTCCTGCCCGTGGTTTCTCCATGGAGTTGGGTGCTGCCTGCACAATTATCTTAGCTACGCGTCTCAGTAAGTTAACGAACCCCTCTTGACTAAACCAGAGTATTGCTGACTGTGAGACAGAGCTTCCTGTATCTACTACGCAGTGCATCACTGGTGCTACTGTAGGTGTCGGCCTTTGCTCCGGCACTTGGAGATCAATCAACTGGCGTATGGTTGGCTGGATCTACATGGGTTGGATTATCACGCTGCCTACTGCTGGTATTATCTCCGGATGTCTCGCAGGCGTTATCGTCAACGCCCCCCGCTGGGGCATGGCAAGCTAAAACCTTTCGATTATTGGAACTATCTGCTTACACACTCATGGTGTCGTCCGACATGTTTGACTGTGCCGTTGGAAATGGCAACAGGGTGAAGCTCGAATGTCAAGAGCACATGGAAACAGAAAGGGTTTCTTTCTAGTCTAAAAAAGACTCATACCCTCACTAGTATAGATAATAGTAGCAGTCAATGCATTACTTTTACAAAGACGCGTTGTGAAAAGTAGCAAGACTTCAGATGATCGGCTGAGGAGGTCATTCTCGTGTGCCTTCGAAGGGTGACACTCATCTTCAATCGGACCTAGCACGGTGCTAGAATGCCAGTGCGCGGGTATTACTGTATTACCTTTGATAGTTTGAATTGCTAGGTCATGTAAGCCTGAACCATGATTGAAGCCAACTTCTCGACGTTATTTCGCTGTGCTGCCAAAAACACGAGCTAGTCATGGAAACAGAGTTAAGCTTAGAATCATGTTGCAAACCTTCGTCCGATCTCTGACCCCCGCTTCGTTCGCCTCATTCGCCCGGCTGTCTCATGTAGGCGAGGCTAATGGTCGAATTATTCTTTAAATCAAAGGAGAACACTTTCGCTGGGAGTTAATCGGATCTCTTTGTTGACTTTAGGACTAGATTATGACAGGCAGTAGGGCGTTGTTAACATCGCAAGTCAAGATGCGCCATCTCTTTCTGCTGCCGATCGCCCTATTCATATCACTTTGTATTTGCTCACCATCCGTCTCGGGTCTAGATTGGCCAGGAAATAGAGCACTACCATTGTTTCCGGAGATTGCGAAAGAGATAGACTATGCCAAACTCACTGCACTTTCCGGCGATGAGCAGGTTCTCTTGGTCTCGCTTCAAGGACTGGTCAACAGACGGCAACCACGACTGTATCTTTATTGGTCGCAGGATTCTGCCTTTCCAGACGACGAGGTCAACGAAGCATGGTTACGGCAACTCGGAACTGAAGGATATCGGAGCGCCGATATGACGAGCACTCCTCTGCAACTGATTGACAAGTACAAGTCTGAGATTCGGGGCGCTATCATCTATGACACGAAATTGCCAGATACGATTAATCTGGCTTCGACACTTGCTGGTCTTCATGGCGCTGTCCTCGCAACTGAAGATCTGGCCCGGCGCCTCAACATCTCCATCACGGAAGACTTGCGAGGTCGGTTCAAAGACAAATTTGAGCTTTACGATCATGCGGCTCGGGAAGTGTGGCCCAAGGTTACTGATCGCATCATCACGGCTATTAAGCCACTTTCGACCATATTGTACGCCAACAGAACCTGGACCACACTTTTGAAGGCAAACTCGTCCGTCACAGATTCTTCCAACAACGGCACATACACTGCAGATTTATCATCGTTCATTAATGGCAACGGGACGGTCTACGTCAATATTACGGACGCTTTCCCCGCAGACGGCTATGGCCCTTCGGTCTACCGTGTCAAGGTAACTGGCGATGGAAACAAAACCATAGCAGACTTCACTCCTGGTAGTGAGGAAGAAGACTCCTTTCTGTTTGACGATGGAGGCTCGCATCTGGCAGACTATCCAGGAGGCTGGCGCTTTGCAGACGGCGCATCCGCAATGATTTACAAGTTTGACGTTCCACCTCAGACAACTCAACTTACGCTCACCCTTTCAATGTGGAATCAGTTTCTCGTTTCGGCATCGTCAGCACGCCCGGGTTACTACAGGATCAACTCAATCTTCCGCGACTACATCGTCAGTACAGCAGCTCCCTGCATATGGCTGGACAGTAACAGGCAGAGGGAAGCCGCGTTGCTCGACAAGCTCCTTCGTCAATTCCAGCCTAACACGGCATACCTCGGCTGGTTTCCAAACGGCGATGAGATGACCGGTGTTACGCAACTCGCAAGGAACGGCTTATACGTCGCCGCTGCGGACTTCTACTTCAACCCCACCATCTTCAGTGGTTTCAGCACCAAAAGCCAATCTCAGCAGTCTGCGATAGGGGGACCTCCATGGCGGCCTCCTCCGCCCCCTCCCCAAAAGACCCCGAAGGTCTTTCTGTCTCTGGTCTACCTCGAAGGCGACAACATCCAGTACGACCAGCGGAGCATGTTCCAGCACTGGAACGACTCCGCGAGGGGATCAGTCCCACTTGGCTGGACCATTAGCCCGTTGCTGCGCGATATCGGGCCGGGCATCTTGTCGTATTATCAAAGGACGTCTACGGAGAATGACTTGCTGATTGCCGGACCGGATGGCGCGGGGTATACGTATCCCGGCGTCTGGCCAAGACGAGCTCTTTCTACATTCTTGACTCAGAGCGGTGAGTATATGCGAGCGACACAAACGGACGAGGTCTTATTCGTGTACGACCGCATCAACGCCTCCGATAACCCGCTCACACCTGGGCTAACTCTCGACTTCCGCGACGCCGTCGGGAGGAATAGGTTGCGGGGGATATACTACGGGTCATTTGTTTCCACGGTGGATGCGCTGCAGGTGAATGTTACAGAGGGCTTCCCGGTGACGAACATGGTGAGTATCGGGAACGAGGAGAGCGGTGCGGCGACGTTGCGGAATATTTCGGATAATTGGAGGGGTCGTGGGCCTCTATTTGTGGCTGGCGCTGTGAGTGCTTTTGATATGACACCGACGAGTGTTACTAGTATGGTTAAGAAGTTGGGTCATGAGTTTGAGGTTGTGAGGCCTGATATGTGGTTTGAGCTGTTGAGAAAACGGGAAAGCTGGCCTGGTCTTGGGTAGGATGGCATTCTCTCGTGAGGAGACTAGTGCCACGAGACTTTAGAGCCTCTCGACGCCTCAAGATGAACAATAGAGATTACGAGGCGTTGTCTATAGCCTGTAACGGACGTAGGAGCAATGCAGCGGGGTTGCACCGGTGGGAGAGTGCCGGTGGGAGAAGGATCTTGCATTAGATTATTGATGCTAAGAGATTGAGAACTTCAGTAGACGCGCAACTGGAACTTACCCCCACTGATCTAGGACGCATACACCCTTATTGACGATGCGTGATACCTCGTTTGTTGTTGTATGTGCTTGGTTAATTCATGTCAGTATCATCAGCTTCAACTCATGTAATAAGACGTGGGCATTTCTTTGACGCTGGCCTCCATCACTGCTACGTCATAAATGCGCCTCATTATTAATATTAGTCCACTGTTTTAGGGGGAACTCCATTTCCCTGCATGCCAAGGTCCAACTTCCACGGCGCTTGCAGGCTGATTAAGCAGAGGAGAAAGACGACTACTATTGCCTCAATAATTCATGCCTGCTGAGGCTGACGTGCTTCAACTTCATATCCGATCCTCGCAAAAAGACTCATCACTTTGTGACATCGTGGGTATATATTCTGATACCAGTGAACATGGCCGGACAACAAATGCAAGCTCTCGTGACCGAGTCTTCGGCCGGCGGGTCGCCGAAGATGGTCAAGAAGCAAGTTCCGGTCCCCGAACCTGCCCCGCATCAAGCCCTGGTAAAAGTGTCACATATTGCACAAAACCCGACAGACGGTAGGTTAGAACCCGTTGGTAGTCTCGATCAAGAGATGAAAGCAGTATCGTTTCCTAACTTCTGTTCACAGTTCAATCTCTTGACGGCAATGCATTCGGTGACGGCGCCGTCCTCGGGTGCGACTTTGTGGGGACAGTCGAAGCGGTCGGCGACAGGTGCAGCAAGCTGTCCAAGGGGGACATTGTTGCTGGCCTAATATGGGGAGGTCAGGAATCCTTTATTAGCTGAGATCTACGAACAAGTTCTGACATATCACCAGGTGAAATCAAGGGTCTCGGCGGCTATAGCGAGTACACCCTCGCGGACGACCACATCAGCTTCAGAGTCCCCAAGAACATAAGCCCGGAGGAGGCTGCTACAATACCCCTAGCTTCCATGACGGCTGAGCTGGCCCTGTTCTCCAAGGAATGCCTCGCTATTCCTCGAGAGAGCGGACCGGAGACGGCGGTCCTTATTTGGGGTGGTAGCTGTAAGCTGCTCCAAGACACGCGCTGAGCAAGTGCGGTCCCTTGCTAATCCCCTTCTCAGCGAGCGTCGGCTTGTACGCCATCCAAATAGCAGCGATGCAAGGCCTCAAAGTAGTCACGACTTGCAGCCCTCATCACTTTGATTGGGTTAAGTCTCTGGGCGCGAAGCATGTCTTCAACTACCGTGATGACGACGTAATTGAGTCCATCAGAAAGACGACGCCCGGCCTCAAATACGTCTTTGACACCATCGGCAACAACTCCTCCTCCGGCCAGGCATCCCAAGCCATCGATGAGAGCGGCGGGAAGCTCTGCACCGTGCGCCCAGGGAAGGCGAACACTGAAAATGTCTCGAAGCAGACGACTGTGACCGACGTCTTGGTCTGGACTGCATTCTTGAAGGATCATCAGTATGCTCAGTTTAAATGGCCGGTAAGTTACAGTCGTTGCAGGACTCCTGGAAGAGTGATCACTGACTGCGGCTTAGGCTAGCGAGGAGGACCACAAACTCGGTAGCGAGTTTTATGAAAAGCTGCCGGGATGGGTAGAGGCTGGGAAGTTCAAGCCCAACAAGCCTAAGGCCATCTCTGGGGGTCTTGATGGTGTAGACAAAGGATTCCAAGTGTATCGGGATGGAGCAATCTCCGGCGAGAAGTTGGTGTATCAACTCTGAGACCTTGGGTCAATCTGCTGTAGTTCCTATGCACACGGCCAATTGCGCAAACGATGCAAGTGAGGAATTCTCGATGAATGCGTATGTACTACTCGCGATGTCAACCAAAACAAACATCGATGGCTAAGTTGAGAGCGAGAGGCTTTCCCCCTCAAAGGGAGTGCACTTTGTTACACTTAGCTTTTCTCGAGGACAGGTAAGCTGATTGCAGACAAGACAGCTGGTCTCGAGAGAGGATAAGCTTAACCTGCTGCTTGGAGACTCAGTGCCCCTAGTCAAGTCACGAAGACTGATGTCAGCACCTAACGACGGGTAAGCATGCAGCACTCACTGTTGTTAATGAGCGTCCAATTGCGATAACCCTATTTTGCATGACGGATTGACACTTGAAAGGATGACCCCGCCATGCCAGGAACCAACGGAACTCAGGTCAATCAAGGGCAGATATTTTTCGAGCTTAAAACGCGTCATGGCCGCGTTCTAGGTCTGCTAATCATAGCTAGTCTTATCGCTCGGGAATGAGAGACCGCGGAAGTACGGCAAACTTATCGAGGTTTCCCGAATGCCTCCCTCATCCCGTGGTGCCGGACCCGTCCGCTAAGAAAGGAATCCCTGGTCGCCTTCCAGAAGCAGACGGCGGATCCCCGCAGCGGCAGATGGAGCCAAGATAACGCCAAGATGCTCAATTGGCCAATGCTGCAGTTCCGGAGCCGCGGTTGGGGGGATCGGGAGAGTTTTTACGATTTGTGATGGTTGTGTGTGGAGAGCCATCATAACTGGACGAACGTGTAATCTGGGGAACTTTTCAAAGTCCCCAAAGGCACTTTTTTGAGAATCCTATCATCGGCTGACCACCGACCAGGGGCGAACTGATAAGCGGGAGAAGAGGTCTAGGAGATTGTCGTACGCGTCGGGCGCATAGCGCATCGGGCCATGTCGCTTCTATCAGTCGATGCGACTCTGTGCCTTTCATACTTACATTAGTGTAACCAGCATCCGCCCTTCATAATAGCCACGATGCCGCGCCGGGCGCTACTCTCTTGGCACTCCTGGGCGTTTGCTTGTTTTCGTCGCCATCGCATCGTCGCAAACCCGAGCCTTCATCAAGATGGCAACCGACATCAGCCATACGCCGCCAGAGTATGCGGACCCTGAAAAGTCACTGGCGCAGGGAGAGAAGCTCAACATCAAGACGGCGCATAACCTCCACGGCCAGGACATTGAACTCGAAAATGGACACCTCGCGGAGTTGGAGGTTGATATGCAGCGGGTGCTCGACGAGGAGGGTGAGGGGGACTACGATGCCGATACCTCGCCTTTCCCCCAGGTCAGAGCCGTTGTGCCGGAGACGGACGATACTGCGATCCCCGTCAACACGTTCCGAGCCTGGTTTCTTGGAATTGTATACAATTGGCGATCCAATTCATGGAGGAACTCAATGCTAACTCGCAGCAAAGGTCTTTGTCTTCCTCGGTGCCGGCGTGAACCAGTTCTTTTCATTGCGATACCCTGGTGTCCACATCGTATCTCTCGTCGCAGAACTGATTGCGTTCCCCATCGGTGTCGCGCTCGCCAAGATTCTCCCCATCAGCCGTTTTAACCCCGACCGGCACTTCAACATCAAGGAGCATGCTCTCGTGACAATCATGTCCAACGTCTCCTTTGGCTTCGGCTCAGCTGATGCGACCAACCTCATTCAAGCAGCCAGGCTGTATGGCTTCTACATCCCGCCAGGATTCTCCGTACTCGTTGTTCTATGTTGCCAGCTTAGCGGATACGCCGTCGCAGGTCTCGCTATGCCGTGGCTCGTCAAGCCCGCCAGCATGATCTGGCCTGGTGTGCTCAGCAATGTCGCCCTCCTCAGCTCGCTGCACTCTCGAGCCAACGCCATTGCTGACGGATGGAGAATCACCCGCATCAAATTCTTCATGATTGTGGGTGGATGCGCTTTCGTCTGGTACTGGTTCCCGGGTCTCATCTTCACGGGCCTCAGCTACTTCACCTGGATCTGCTGGATTGCGCCAAACAATCTGGCCGTCAACCAAGTCTTTGGCATGGTCACTGGCATGGGTCTCTTCCCTCTGACTTTTGACTGGTCCATGATTGCATACAACACAAACCCGCTTCTCAGTCCTCACTGGGCTGCGCTGAACGTTTTCTTCGGCTTTGCGTTCTTCTTCTGGATCATCACACCGGCGATCTACTACACTAACACATGGTTCACCTCGTACATGCCTTTCTGCACGGCTGATGTTTACGATCGATTCGGCAGCCTATACAACGTGACGGAAGTTCTTACAAACAACGAATTCGACCAGCAAAAATACTCCTCGTACTCTCCCCCGTATCTGCCAGCGACGTTTGCCTTTGTATACGGCTTGTCTTTTGCTTCAATCACGAGGTATGTGCTGAGGCATGTCAATCGCCGACAATTGTAGTCTAACCTTGTGACGATAGTGTTCTGTCTCACGTCTACTTCTTCCACTTCGACGAAATCGTGCATGCCATGAAGGGGACGCTCAAGCTCGACATCCACGCGCGCCTCATGCAGTCATACAAGACTGTTAAGTGGTGGTGGTGGATGGTCATTCTTCTGGTCGTCTTCGGCATGGCAGTCGGTACCGCAGAGGGCTACGACACTGGCCTTCCGTGGTGGGGAGTTATCCTCGCCTTCGTCATCCCCGCTGTCTACATGGTTCCCTGCGGCATGATCCAGGGCGTCACGAACGTGGACGCCAACCAGCTGAACGTGCTGTCCGAGTTTATCGGAGGATATATGTTCCAGGGCAAACCGATTGCCAACATCCTCTTCAAGATCCTCAGTACGGATGTCGTCGGTCAAGGTCTGTACTTCGCAGCCGATATGAAGCTCGGCCACTACCTCAAGATCCCGCCCACGACCCTCTTCTTTGCCCAAGGTTTTGCAACGATCCTTGGAGCATTGACCCAGACTGGTGTCACGCTTTGGATGCTTGGCAATGTTGACAGTATCTGCACCGAGGACCAACCCAATGGCTTCTCCTGCCCCAACGGTCGCACAGTTTTCTCGTCTTCGGTTATCTGGGGTCTCGTCGGGCCCGCCCGTCTCTACTCTGTTGGGGCCATCTACTCTGGTCTCTTGCACTTCTTCTGGATCGGACTTATCTTGCCGCCGATTACCTATTTCATCTTCAAGAAGACAAAGTCTGACTTCATTCGCAAGATCAACTGGCCGCTCATTTTTGTCGGAACCTATAACGTGCCTCCGGCCACGGGTATTAACTATTCTTCGTGGTACATTGTCAACCTTATCTTCAACAAAATCATCTACCGCAAGTTCTACGCTTGGTGGAGCAAGTACAACTACGTCCTCGCCGCGGCGCTGGACACAGGACTTGCCATCAGTGGTATCGTTATCTTCTTCGCTGTCACATACGGTAAGTCGGCACAGATAGGTACACTGGGTTTATAAAGGCACCCAACACTAACATTGACGTAGGCCCTAACGCACAATTTCCTGATTGGTGGGGAAACACTGTATGGAGTGAAACCGCTGATGGACAAGGCCTGCCATGGCTGCAGATGCCGGATGTAGGCTACTTTGGACCTGCGAACGGAACGTGGTCTTAGAGCAAGTTTGAAGAGGCAGTAATTGCATGCTTTACAACATAGTCTATTGACTTGTAGATAGAGGTGCTGGGCTCAGTTCGAACAGAGGCTGTCCATCCAGTAGGCCCTTGCCGAACATGCAGCTGAAGAGAACACAACGAACAATCTCACTCAACCCAAGCGCGTCGATCCCTCCAGAATCCCTGACTATTGTGATGGCACCCCGAACGTGTTTTGAGGCCATGTGCATGTCACAGAGCATGATCTACAAGCAGAATCAGAGCCCTTCCTAAGATAACGCACTTGGTAATAACAGAGATCCGGAAGTTATAATGAAGTTTGCCTACCTCGTCGAATGACAACACCAATGCTTTCGCAACACCAGTTCGTCGCAATGACATATCGTCGGAGGACAGGGCACGACGCAGATCGCTTATGTGCTTAAGCTTGAACTGAGCTGCCCAATTTCCCCACTGCTCCCCATGAAAGAGGGATAAATGACGGCTGGCTGCGAGCAAGAACCCCTGCAAGAGGTCAATATCGGTAGAGCCACAGAGCAACCAATTCCTCCGTATGTGATCGAAGTTTTCGCCGAGGTAGCACAAAGTAGGACATTGCGAATCCATGTTGGGGACAATGACTTGACCATCTACGACCGTCAGTGTCCAACACCCTTATAATGCCAATAGCTTCGCATAACCGGGCCTTCAAAAGTGGCATTGATGATGTTAGTACATCATGACTTACAGTAAAAGAATAGCATTTTCTCTTCGGCTGTGGAAGACTTCAGAAAGCTAGCCAACGGCTCATGCTCGAACGCGCCAGGTATTGTGCTTGGGATCGAAGGCTCAACCAGATGCTGTGATTCCACGACGTCTTGTTGTGGACGGCTCACTCCTTCTCCCTCTCGTTGCCTCAAAATCACTGATCGACCACGACCGTCAACTTGGATGTCCGGGTCTTGATTGCCATGGCGGGCCACCTGACGTTTTCTTGACCGTGCATGGGTCACTCGTGCTGCGTGAGCGTGAGCCTGTTTCTTCAAGCGCACTGATCGTCTCTGGTTAGGATGCACTATAACGATGAACTCCATGCTGGGAAGCGTAATAAATATCAAATCAAGTCTTTTTCAGCGAAATAATTTGGTTCGAGGATATTTCTTGTTATTCAACTGAACATTATCGTAAAAAGCAAAAGATATAACTGTCGTAGAACACTCAATAGGCAACTCTAAATAAGCACTACCATCAAATTTGTCAGCGGTGATGTTGGCGGCTTTGACATATGCAGTCAGCATTGCCAAGGTCTACTCCTACTCCATTGAGCTTAGCCGTTGATACTAGTCCGGATGAAGCTACCTCAATAGTTCAAAGCACCGTAGACTACATGTGGTACGGGATTTTGTCGACAATCTGCTCGTGCAACTCCTCGAGAGCAGATACCACATCCTCTGGAAGCGGTCCTTGTTTGATCATGTCGAGATTGGCCTCTAGCTGCTCAGGGCTCGAGGCTCCAATGATCACTGAGTCTTCGTGTTCCTTGCTGAGGACGCTGTGATATACCGTCCACCGAAGTGCCGCAGCATGGCCGCCGATTCCGTGCTTGGATGCGACATCAATCGCCTTCTCCGTCGCCGTCATGATGGATTCTTTGACATAGAATTTTGCGTATATGCTACCCACAGGAATCTTGGACGTCACAGAACACTTGGTTAGTCTTTCATACTTTGATCGAGCAAAGGCCAGTAGGAAAGCTTTACCGATGTATCGTATCGTCCACCCGCTTTAACCGTTTTATGATTGCCGGCAAAGAACCCAGCTGCGGCGGGGCTGTATCCGTAGAAGGCGATGCCATTCTCGCGCAAGACGGGAAACAAGTCCTTCTCTCCGCCTCGCACGAGCGGATTATAATGACCCTGGTACACACTGGGTTTGACGAGGCCGCGTTCTTGGCAGATGTCGACAAACCGCTGAACCTCTGCAGCGGAGTAGTTTGAGATACCCCATTTCTTGATCTTACCCTCCCCAATCGCCTGATTCATGGCCTCACACGCTTCTCCGAAGGGTGTCGTTCGGTCGGGCATATGCAGGTACTCAATATTGATCTGCTTGATTTTCAGCGCTCTGAGAGATTCGTCAATCTCCTTCAGTATATTGTCCTTGGTGTGACATCCCGGCGATCTGGACGTGACCTTGGTGTCAATGGTAAAGCGCTCGCCCGCATTGGCTGCGCCGAGTCTGGGCTCCGAGCTTGTTGGTGCTTGGGGTGAGTACATGCGCGAGGTATCAAGCTGGTTGTACCCGCGTCGAGCAAAAACGTCAAGGAATGAGTTCACTTGGTCGGGTGTGTCGTAGCGTGCCATGGGATCTGCGGATGAATCTCCGACCTGCGCATATTAGTTTTGCTCGAAGGACTATGCATCTCTCTCATTCGGTCGGCCAGCTTACGTTCGCCACACCCAATACGAGGTTGACGGGCTGCTTAGACGCGGACGACATTTGGACTATCAAAATTTGACGGCGGAATGGTGAAAGGCTGGCAATTAAGAGATAATAGAATTGTTGTTGATATAAATAACACATCCGGAAAAGCAGCTCATAATCTTCGATGGAAAGTGTTCTGCCTTTTATGGTTTCAAGGCCGAATGCTTTGTGAGGCTCATCAGACAATACGCCAAGAGCTACTCTTACTTGTTCGGGCAACTGCAACTATGAGCTCATTACTAAAACAGGTAGCAATTCGTCAGCCCAGCAAAGCTTACACTCTGGCCTTGCATCCGGGGTAACCTACTTGGGTCATAAACTACCTCACGTTGCGCTTTGACAGTCGAACTTTCAGATGGTCGGAGTTTCATGCCGTAGGTATTCCGACTGACTTGACGCAGTTGTTGCATCTGACTAAGCTCGATTAACTTGGAGGCATGATGGTAATAGAAGGCCGTCGAGTTCGGTAGCTTCAGCTCGTTGTGGTTTCGAATTAGTGCCTATTGCTAATAGCAGCATCATTCAAGCGGGAAAACCCCAGCAACGACATCACTTGCACACATAGATAGCGTTATCCCTAAAAAAGAGAAACTTCGGCTTCACTGAGCGACATTTTTGTCTTCAGCTTATTTCGGGTTTCTCATATACAAGCACTTCTAAGTTCAAGATATGCGAGTACGCTGAACTTTGAGCGGGGCTTCTTAAGCATTGTTACGTGCAACGGTCTAAGAAGAAGTCACAATCCAGACTCCGCCGAAGCAACAGCGGTATCGTCTTGGGGCTTATCAGATGGACGATCCAGTGCAGCACCGAATCTTCTACGGGACCGTTTAAAACCCCAAACAATAGACCTCAGACATGTACATCGGCGAATTTTGGTATACCTTTGGCTGTCATCAAATTCCTGGCCGCCAATACCGGCGCGTGTCTGCCAAGGTGTGGGGAAGTTGAGTCTCCTTCCAAGTTCAATAGTACTTGTCGTGAGCCGAGATGAATTGATGATGACGCCGGCGAGCTGGGCGAACGTCAGCGGACAGCCAAACAGCCGAGTAGGTCCCAAGCTTCCCAAGATCCGGTGAGAGTGTGCCACGGCTCGGCGTTTATGTCTCATCCAATCCGAAGCCATCTATGTAGCTTTTGATGGCCTTGTGGTCTTTAGTATTATGTTGAAATTTGGAAGGTCCTAATCTTGGACAAGACAGCCAAGATACTTGGCTGGCTTATCGTGCGCTCCAACGTCCCGGTTATCTCAATCCTTAAGCACAGCTCTGTGCCGGCATGCGCGACTGCTGTTAGCGCACATTATCCTGCGCTGCATTTCAATTGAAGGATGCCAAGAACGCGTAGATTAGTCCTCAGATAAAAATTCTGTCTTGCTTCATAATTGCTTGGCTAAGGGCTGAAGGATGCATCATACAAGAGGACATCATCGTACCGAGCTTGATGGCCGTCCTAATGCTTCCGTCAACTCCTCCCCTATTTTCCAGCCCAGGTAGAATTGTCCTTTGTGAATATGGTCAATTTTGGTAAGGAATTGTACGATCTCTTCGCGCCGAGTGCCGACAAAGGCGAAGATGGCCGTGATGTTTGGGGCTCTCGTATATCCTTTATCTTCGCCGCGATGGGGGGGGGGGGGCAGTCGGTCTCGATAACCTCTTGTGATTCCCCTCAATCGTGTTCAACAATCACGGCCTCCAATTCTTCATCCCCTATCTCATCTCACTTTGCTGCTTGGCCATACCAACTTTACTTCTCGAAATCAGCATCGGTCAAGCGTACAGAGGAGGCTGCGTCCTTGCGTGGCATCATGCAAACAAGCGTGCCGAGGGTGTTGGATTCGGCGTCGTCTATATCGGTTATGCGATTGTTATCTACTACGTTCCGATCATCGCCTGGATAATGACATACTTTCGGTACTCTTTTCACAATCCACTACCATGGACGGGAAGAAATACCGAGTTCTCCGAAGGAAGCGTCCTCCAGAATGTCGACCCTATCGCTGGAAACTTGACGGCAGATGGCAGCGCAGTTCAAGACTACACAGCTTGTCCAGGTTTGGGCATAGTCACGGAGACTACATTATGGAACCTCTTCACATGGTTTGGTGAGTAAAAGCCCCTCCTAATCTCCAAAATTTGCATGTACCACACTGTCTTGGCTGACATTTTCCGATGATACTGCAGTCGTTTGGCTGTGTATGTTCAAGGGCATTGGACTTACTGACCGAGTGGTGTATCTCACAATGGCGATGCCAATCATTCTCATAATCGTTCTTATCGGACGCGGCTGCTCTCTGCCGAATGCCATCGATGGCATCAGAATATACTGGACCGAGTGGCATGGTGAAAAGCTTGCCTCGGGCACCATTTGGCAAGAGGCTTGCGGTCAAATTCTTTTCAGCACTGGCATTGGCATGGGGTGACGTCCCACTTCCTTGACTTCTGTAAGAGTAATCTCCACTGATATGGGTATCAGATACTACACGAGTTATGCTTCCTACAACTCTAAGTACTCGAATGCAGTTCAGGACGCTCTAATCATCTGCATCTCTAACTCTCTTATCGAGGTTATTGGCTCGATGTCTGTATTCGGAATCGTAGGGTACCTCGGCATGCACCCCGACACCAGCGAAAGACTCAACACCTTTGTCGTCGGATTCCTCACATACCCGGAGGCCATCGCCGAGATGCCTGGTGCAAACGTTTGGGGCGTGCTCTTTGCCACTCTCTTCATTGTCGGGCTCGGATCAGCGTTTGCACTCCTGGAGACTTTGGTGACCATGGTTTGCGATACAGACTGGGGCAAGAAGTTCTCCCGGCCTTATGTGTCGTCCATCATAGTTGCTGCCTCCTTCCTCATCTCACTGCCATTCTGCACAGAGTTTGGATACATTCTCGTTGACGCGGCGGACACTTGGATCAACTACTTGGCTCTCTTCTGGATAGTATGGTGAGGCCGTGTGTGATACCACGCTCTACCGATACCGCGATGTTGTTGACCAGTGCGGCCTTCTATCTTGGCGCTTGGACAACATCTTTGGCTACATTGGAGGTACGGTGATTGGCCTCGTTATCGCCCATACGGTATCTCCTGAAGCCGGCACAGGTGCTGGTCTTGGGATATTTATCGTCAGCATGATCTCTTCAGTGCTGTCTTCTTCCGACCCTCCAGCCTACACACCTAGATTCTTTTCGAAGAATACTCCTTCAAGACGCTTTTGGTATTTGACATCCTACTCTGTACGTACTCGCGTTCAGCCTTCCCTGAACGGCGTTAACTCTCTTGCTTACTGTTGGTTGTAGGGCAATTAACTGCGCCGGGACCTTAATGCCACGATCTCCATCGGCGGTCAGTGGAAGATCCCGGCTATTTGGGGTTTCATTCTCAAGTATAACACGGCGCCGATTGTGGCGATCATTTTCTCCCTTTCCTATCCCAACTTCTATGCCAAGAACCGGATGGACCCGCTGCACATTGCTGGGTTTGCCTTTATGCATATTGTACTTGTCAGTTCCCTCGTTGGGCTGATCATGCCCCGCTGGTTCAATGTTTTCGTTCCTGAACACAAGAAGCTCGAGGGTGACTATCCCGTCATGCCTGGCATCATCTTCTCGAGAGCCAACGCAGAAGGAACATTAGATATTGATGGAATGCCGCACAACGCCCATGACACTATCCTGAGGCTCGAGGAATTAGCGGCGAGGAGAACCTGGCACGAGAGAGATCCTCGACCGAGGAAAAGATCGCTGACAAGCGCCAATAAACCGAGCATATACATGTATGTTCGGGTCTCACGTATGTACCTATTGACCCAGGTGAACAAGCGAGCACAATTGACAACCTGCGTCATATTCCGTGCGGGCACGAGCCACTGCATTTGTGCCTCTATAGGAAGGTGATGAAGACAATGAACGATTCGCGGGCTGGTAGTCCTTGGCATCAGCACCCAAGATGTGTCCACGTACTTCTGAAACGTAAGGAGGAGCGCCTTGAAAGACTAAGTTTCCGCTGGTGTGACTCTTGCTTTTGGGGGATTGGTCGCAGTAAGACAGCGTGGTTTCCCTTGAAGGTTGCCGCAATAGGACAAAATCAAAGAGGTTGGTGGCCAGTCGATACGGGCTCTCCGCAGTAGCATCCCTGCAAGCCAAGACCCCAATGCCGAAAAAGGATGGTGGTTTGTACACCGACGATTATGAACGAATGACGGTCGTCTTCCCGGGAGGAGTTGATCGCCAGTGGTGTTACCGGCTCGTGACTTCATAAGAGCTCGAGTGCGCTGAGCTGACCGTAGGACTAGTTTCTTTTGTCATCAAATTGCTTTCAGTTTCGTTCTGTGATACCATCCCACGTTTCGTCCATCTTTGATCCGCAAAGTTCAGAAGATTCAAGATGAAGGTGATCAACCAAGTAGCAACTCTCTTCTTCGCGTATGAATCCATCGATGTTCGAAATAAAGACAAATTGCTGACGTTGTTAGCGCGGCACCAATTGCAGCCCAGACAAGTTCGGAGTCGTTTCTTTACTCGATCCTGCCAACAGATTCCCTGACTCCTCTCCCTACCCCGATGCCGCTTCCTACCGTGGTGGAAGACGGGTGCCCCACGGCGACAGAGCTATCCCTGTGTCCTAGTTGCACCGGGGAGGCACCGCAATGCGTGACCGTGTCGACTCTGACGCAGTCATGCGGCTGCCCCAGTGCAGCTGCGACAGAGACCTTCACATTCGGCTGCGACAAGAGTGCCTGTCCTAGGGTGGGCTGCAGCACCAGCTACACCATTGTCTCTGGCGAAGAGGCATGCACAGGTAGTGCAAGTGTGTCTGCCACGGCGGCGACGACCGATGTGGTCACAGTGACGACGACGACACAAGCGACTACGGCCGCTACTGGCTCACAAGCCGGCACAGCATCAGGTGCTTCGGGCTCTTCAGCTTCTCCTAGTGCGACGCCGAATGCGGCTGGACGACTGGCAATTCCATTCAAGTTTTGGTAGAAAGCACTTGACGATTGGCCACACCGGGATGAGGTGTACCAAAAACTGCTGGGTGAACAGTGTCCGCAGCCTCTGTGTAGAATGATAGTAGTTTGGAACCCCAATCGTTGTTGCGTGTCGCCCAATCTCTGCGTGCCAAGTGTGTCTCCGTCTGTTTGATAGCCATCAGATCGATACTCAAGTTGCTGTCCACGTTTCAGGCGTCCAGGATTCAGGGCTGAAGTCTGGCCAGTAAAGCCCCTGAGCTCCATCATTGTAGATCGACGCATCTATGAACTGCAAGTCGAGCAGTGGCTGCGCCAGTAGCTCCTGCAACGATGGTTCGTTGAGCGCCATGCCAGCAGTCGTGTTTTGCTCCGCGAAAGGTTGATTAAGGTTGACTGCAGCATCTGTGAAAGCAGCTGTTGCGTCATTCAGCAAAGCCGCAGAGTCTCCCGTCACGGCGAAATCACCGCGGCGTACATGAGCTGCGGCCATTGTGGGCTTCATTGCGTCGATATGATGGCAAAACTCCTCGGCTGCATAGTTGCCATTATCCTTTAGCTGAGACAAAAACTGAGCAGCTTCTTCAAATTGTTCTCTATCATTGTGACTCTCTTTACCGCTCAGAAGGCTAGATGCAGCAAGGATGGTGGCCGCTGAGAAGAGGTACTGGGTGTAGAAGTAGTCAAACGTTGCGAAAGAACCGTCGATCCAGCATTCGGTCAGAAGTCGACAGGTATGACGAGCGCAGCGTATGCAAGTCTCTGCGAGAGTCATGGCGGTGGCCGGAACTCGCGGTTCTGGGGTCTCTGGTGTTCCCCAAGATGCCACATGCGTTCGCAGCACGTGGAGCAGGATCGGACGGGTGGTGCTGATTGCGCACTTGAACCGAAGTTAGCTTTATGATACCACGTGTGACAATCTCACTTATGTACTTGCCTGATTGAAGTTAAGATGTAGTGAGATGGGCTTTGGCATTCGTTCCGATGTAGGCTTCGAGTCAATATGAAGCTGCGGCGGGAGCTCTGCAGACCACCCACGAAGATCCTTCAACGCCTCTTGGACTCTGTGAGATAGAGAGGTATCTTGTAGTCTTCTTCGATAGATGGATGGCACCACCTTGCCCAGTAAACCAGCGAGCTTTACACTAGCAACAAAATATGATGCATCGGCAAAGTCATCCGCTATGTTATCGTCGACAACCGGGTTCGATGGCAGGTCCACTTCAATATCAATGTCTTGGACAGCAACTGGGTGGCTTAGCTTGGCTGCCCACATCCTGTCAAAGATGTATGCTGTCCACCAAACTCTAACCCTGTGCTCTCGGGCGGCCGCATCTCTGAGTTGCGTCTCAGGAACGTTGAGATGAAGGCCCATGACAACCGCAAGCCGGGTCGCGGAGCCGGCAAAAGTGTAGGCGGTGTGTCGCCGGTTGAGTGCAAGAGAGTAGAAAGACTGTGAAAAGTTTAGAGGCGATCGAAACTGATTAATTACCAAAGCGATCTTACCAGCAACAATCTCAACTCGACAACATCGATCCTTGGTCGTTCGCTCACGATGCGAAGGATGCGAGTTGCCCGTGCAAAGTAGCCCATGCCAGGAAAGTGCTTTTCAGACGTGGCAGACCGAGTCGAGTACATGGCGCCGATAGCAAACATTGCCCACAGCTTACTTTTGAGAAGTGAGTCGCTTTCAGCCGGGTTCTGGAGTGTCTGTTCCAAGGCATCCAGAATCGAGCTCTTGCGGATGATGTGGTAGCAGCGGCTGACATATCTCAGGGCAACCCCGACGAGAAAACGTGCTCTCGCGGGACTAGGCCAAGGGCAGTCTGTATCAGACAGAGCGAGCAGTCTCTCATCTGTGGCATAGTTCACTCGCGGGATATGACTGCTCTCGGCTGATGAGATTGCTTGGCGAAAGCGAGTAGCGAATGCAGCGTCTGAGGCCTCGCCGATGAGGATTGGCGTGTGCGGGATATTCATGTCGAAGAACCATGGTCGCTCATCAAGCGATGGCGCTGGGATGGCAGTTGCATTATTGTCTGTTGTCTCTTTAACCGGGACAACGACTGCAAGATCTGCGAGCAGGTTGGCTGCTCGAGTCTGACTTCCAATGCCGCTGTTGCTCTTCAACCGTTGGTTTTCGGCAATGAGGTCATCGATATAGCTATGGGAAATCGAATTAGTCCCTTACACCAGTCGCTCTTAGTGACGCAAGTCCGAAACGTGAAGATTGGTTCTTACATACCGCTGGCTCACTTTTACCATGCGGTTCCGCCGAGGGTATGTGCATTCTGCACCCTTGCTTGCTTGGCGGCAATTCTCACACGGTTGACCACCGGAACATCTTACTTTGCGCGAGTGACACCTACGACAACTGGCATGGCGGAATCGCCGTTGTTAACCACCAGAAACCCTTCCGCAGCTTTGCGGCGCGACAGGTTGTATTACTCACGCGGTAGGTTTGGTCTTTGGTCGGGATGAAGCCGATGAAGATACCGGAGCGGATCTCAGAGCAACCCTATCCTCCGCACTGGACGCGTCGCCTTCCGATGTCATGGTGGTCAATCGGTATGCCGGATTAGGATACTGCCCTCGTGAGGTCCGAAGCTTTCGGGAAATGTGTAGGGATACCGAGGGGCTCAAGGGATATTTGAAGACACCTCTTCACCTTCCAATGCTGCAATGACTTGTGACGTATTCCTATAGTGCTACCGCTGCGTGATAGTCATCAGCACTAGTTTGGTAGAGGTTTCTTTGTTGTCACAGCTAGACCTTTGGGGGAGCAAGCTCTAGCCCAGCCGAGATAGTTCGGCATAAATCGCGCAATACGCCGAGAAAATACTGTGATTTCCCCACATTATCGGCGCAATATGGACTTTGCCGAGTTTTCCGTCACGATCTTTACCCCACAAACTGTCCAGGGGTTTGACCAGGTTCTCAAGTCGGCTTCATGCCATGTTGCCGACTACTCAGACCAAGCAACCAACCACTGGCGCCCTATTTCACTCACATTTCCGTCACAAGTCCGGGCTGGCCTCGATCACGTCGCCTATGCGTACATCACGTCGCTCTACATGGCCCACTTAACGAAACATTTGAGTCAGAGAAGGTGTAGTGAAAAAATGGAAGAAAATTCGCCTGCCGAAGGCGTGCCTCCGACCGACGGAGAGCTGCAGGAGTTCTCGACTATATACATTCGGAGGACTCCCCGAGGCAGCATTCATCCTTTGACAATACTTTAGCTTAGAGATCAGCTTACTTTCCGTTCTTTAATGAGACTTTCCTCGCCATGGGTTCCCCAGATGCCGAAAAGCCGGACGGCTTGACCGCCGCTGTCCAGATCCCTCAACTCAGCCCCGATCCGCTTACCGGCCCCATTCCGGCAGCGGCAGCCCCTCTTCGGCCCGTAGCCGCAGCAGATGACGAAGTGATGGAGATGCCAACATGGAAGAAATGGGTTACGCTTGCGGTGGTTTGCTGGATGGCCTTGCCCGTCACCTTTTCCGGTAGCTCCATCTTGACAGCAACGTCCGAGGTTGCTGCCGACTTCAACGTCTCAACACATGCCATCACCACAGCTAATGCGGGCGTCTTCATTGCCATGGCCATGTCTGCCTTGATATGGCTGCCGACGAGTAACATCCTTGGTCGCAGGACGACTTATCTAGTAGCCAACTGCCTCTTGACCTTGTGTTCGATAGGCTCGGCGCTCTCAAATAGCTTTGCCTGCTTCACGACGATTTGGGTTATCGGAGGAACAACTGGCCCATTCTTCCTAGTTGCCGGGCAAACCATCTTGGCAGATATCTTTGAGCCTGTGAGTTCGATATCATGCCACTTCTTTCTAGAACATTGAGCCTAACTGCCTTTTAGACAACTCGCGGGACTGCAGTGGGTTGTTTCTTGGGCAGCTGCGTGGCGGCAAACGCAATTGGTATGTTGGTTGACTACTTTAGCGGTGTGCCCAAGAGTCTTTAGACTGATGATCTTTCAGCCCCGTTGACGGGAGCCGTCATCGTGACCTTCACCAGCTGGCGAGTCATCAATGGTGTTCAGGCTGGCATGACTTTTCTCGGTCTCATCATGGCCTTCTTCTTCGTGCCAAAAGCGAGCCAGCTGGCGCATCTCAAGATCGCTGTCGCAGAACGAGCTCCTACTCGGTCTTTGGGTGACTTGGCCCACGCGTTCAATCCGATGGGTGTTCTCCGCCAGTTCAAGTATCCCAACATCGTTGCAGCCGTGAGTTGCTCTTTGCCCAACTCGACTCTAGCCCGTATTCTGATACATCTCGCAGAACTTTGCCTGTGGACTCCTGGGGTTCAACCAGTATGGTCTCTTGAGTTCCATACGACGAGTCATCAACCCTCGGTTCGGCCTTACTACGCCTCTTATCAGTGGACTTTTTTATCTTGCCCCCGGAGCGGGCTTTCTCATGGGTAGCACAATCGGCGGCAGAGTCTCAGACCATACCGTTAAGCGATACATCCGGAAGCGTAATGGTCTCCGTTTGCCCCAGGATAGACTCAAGAGCAGCTTGCCAGCAATCTTCTTCGTTCTCCCTGCAGGTACTCTTATCTATGGGTGGAGCGTGCAGAAAGAAGTTGGCGGAATCGCTTTGCCTATCATCAGCTGCTTCTTTGAGGGACTCGGCCTTATGTGGTCTTTCAGTGGTCTGAACACATATTCCGCTGGTAAGCCTTCCATGGCATCTTGTTATGTCTTCGACGGTGCGACATGGACTAATACGTTTCATCAGAGGCAATGCCGGAACGCAGAACAGCTGTCATCAGCAGTAAATATATCGTTCAGTACAGTTTCGGAGCTGGCAGCGTTGGTGGTCTGGTGCCTATGATCGACACCATTGGAGTCGGCTGGTCTTTTACCATCAGTAAGTCCATCAAGATGACTCCCATCTTCTTCCTCGCATACTGACCTCGCCTTAGCCGCAACCTCTGCACTCCTCGCTGGCGTCTTGGTCTTGGGTATCTCCAAGTTTGCATCGAGGGCTCAAAATTGGGTGGAAAAAAGCAACAGTGATGATTCAGATTAGTGCCAAGGATAGCACTCAAGATTTACGGACTCAATGGTACTATCTATATGCATAGCATGCGGTGATTGTTTGGGACTGATTTGTTCTATCGTTTTTTGTTAGCCTAATCTAGGACATATCTCGCGCGTCGAATCTTATCACATGCCTGGGTCGGAAAATCTTACGACCAGGCTCTGCCTCAAGTCGAATGATACAGTCAACACATGGGAGCCAAGCCGGGTTGATCGGTTCGATCAACTGTGCGTCCGGAAAAACAAACACGACGCCTTAGACTCCGTGGATGCCTGCCTAGCCACCCCTTGCGCCCGCTGTCTTATGAGCTGCATGCATCCTTCAAAGCTGACTGGACGATATTTTGAACAACCAATGAGTTGAAATGAAGGCCTTGATGCAGTTACACAGCGGTCGCATTGAGGCACTGCCACCTAAGCAGTCCTACGGCTCGGTCTGACCAGCTCACCACGAGACCAGAGACCTTCCGTGTTGCTCACTTTTGTCCAACTTCCAAGCTTCCTCGGGGATTTTGCAGCCAACGCTGAACTACCATCTTCTCGCCCTGGAAGCTTCAGTCTCCATACCACTGCCTGATCAACACTTGGAATGATTCCAAACTTCGAAAAATGGAGAACATTTCAACGGCGGTAGCAACCGTAGGGAAACTGAAACCTGAGATTCGGCTGGCTCAAACCATCTCAGAATTCAGCGTTTGCCTCAAGCGCCATCAACATGACTCTCACATCCGCTTCAAAAACTTGCAGACAAGAAGCCCACCAAACGCCATGGAGGTTTTGCAATTGACAGAAGAGATCAATCGAGATGGGGCTCGTCGTCACCGGTCTTGGAGGCCGAACGCTACCCGTCTTGTCACTGTTCTAGAGAGAATTCGTCAATTTGCCCCCATTGGCGACGTCCTTGTTGGAGGCGCCCAGAACCTCTTGGCGTCTGGCGTGTGGGCCACGGTCAGGATGACTCTGGAGGTATGTTCTTCGACGTTCTTCTAATCTATTTTATTGCATGTTGTCGCTTTGATATTGGGGGTAGCTGACGAGAGTCATAAAAGATATCACTGAGCTTCCTTTCCTATTTTGATAAAGTCTCAACTCTTCTAATGAGGATTGGTAAATCGTCTTCTCTTCACAAGGATTTCGCTTTACTTTTTCCCACCTGTCGTCAGACTCAGGCGTACATGTGCGAGTATGTCATCGTCTTCATCAAGATATGCACAAAGATCACCATCGACGCCCATAAATCATTTGCGTCTCAACTTGCGACGTCTTTCACTTCCACCTTCGACTCAGCCTTCAAACCACTGGAAGACGACTTGCGATCATGGGGTCAGTTGATTGAAAATCGCGCAGCGATACTCC